CATTTCGCTCCACTCCTCGGTCTCTCAACGAATGAAAAATTCATCCCGATTGGATTTGGGGCTTAACAAATTTACTAGAAAAGAAAACCACGTGTATATATTACGAAAAAAAAGGCAAAATACATAAACCGCCCACCCACCCTCATCTCAATTGTGACTTGTTTTATTCGTCGTAAGCTGAGGGGCGGAGCTTAATTGTAAAATGATTATTTCTCCACAAGAATCTACCATATGAAATATGTCAACTATCACGTTGAAAGAAATCTATATATGTCAAGAAAAAAAAAACAAAAAATAAACCCCGCCCGCCCGCCCTAACCTCAATGTGATAAATTTTTCAATCATTGTCAGACCAAGGGGCGGAGCTTAAGTACAAAAAATCCTTGTTTCCCGAAAAAAAATCATTTTAAACGTTTCAAATATCTTGTCGCGAAAAGAAGATTACGTTTATTCAGAAAAAACGGCCAAATTTAAGCCCCGCCCACCCACCGCCATCTCAATTGTAAACAACTTTTTTATTCGTTTCACGCCAGAGGACGAAGTTTAATTGCAAAATCCTTATTTTTTCACAAACTTATCATTTGAAACATGTTTAAATTTCATGTTGTGAAAAGAAGTCTACACATATTAAAACAAAAAGGCAAAATGTAAGCCCGCCCACCCGCCCTATCTCAATTGTGATGATTTTTTTATTCGCCGTGAACCAAGAGGGCGGAGCTTAACTGCAAAATCCTTATTTCTCTACGAAAAATTAGAAACATGTTTTTGAGTATCGTGTTTTCAAAGAATACTATGTACATTAAGAAAAAAAGGCAAAATATAAACCCCGCCCACCCACCCCACCTCAATTGTGATGATTTTTTTATTCTTAGAAATTTAAAACACGTTTAAAATGGTAAATTTTTGTAAAGAAATATGGATTTTGCAGTACGCTCCGCCCCTCGGTCTGACAACGAATGAAAAATTTATCACGATTGAGATCTAGACGGATGGGTGTGGCTTCTCTTTTGGTTTTCTTTTTTAATTAATACATTTAGTTTTCTTTGCAGAACACGATTACTGAAGAACATATTTCACACGGTAATTTTTCATAGAAAATCATCAGAATTGAGATGGGGTGGGTGGGCGGGGCTTATGTTTTGCCCGTTTTCTTAATATACATGGCCATTTTTTCACAACAAGAGACTTAAAACATTGTTAAAATGGTACATTTTTACAAGGAAATATGGATTTTGCAATAATGGGGTGGAGCCTAATTGCAAAATCGATATTTCCTTACACAAATTTTCCATTTTAAATATGTTTTAACTTTCATGTTGTGAAAAGAAGTCTACACATATTAAAACAAAAAGGCAAAATGTATGCCCGCCCACCCGCCCTATCGCAATTGTGATGATTTTTTTTATTGGCCGTGAACCAAGGGGGCGGAGCTTAACTGCAAAATACTTATTTCTTTACAAGAAATTATAAACATGTTTTTGAATATCGTGTTGTTCAAAGAATACTATGTATATTAAGAAAACAAGGAAAAATATAAACCCCGCCCACCCACCCCATCTCAATTGTGAAGTAAGCAAAAACTCATCATATAATAACTTGTGAAATTTAAACTGTCCAGAACAGTTTATCATCTTCTTGTTTTAATTTCAGTGAAATTTTTGCATCACGTGTTTTTAAAAATCAATATCTCAATTATATACGGAAATTTCGGAACGCGATCTTCAACGCTGTTTTCAAGTTACAAAACTCTAGAAATCGTACTAGACATATTGTCGACTTTTTTTGTTGGAAATGAGGTACCACAATAAAAAGAAGTTTGTGTCATAGAAACTTCTTTTTACTATATCTCATTTCCAACAAAAAAGTCGACACTGTATTTGACACGTTTCCTATAGTTTTGTAAGCGGAAAACAGTAGCAGAAACCGCGTTCCGAAATTTCCATAAATAATTGCGATATTGATTTTCAAAAATACGTGATACATAGGAAACTGTAAAAAAACTCCCCTCGTATTATATAGTGAAAGTTATGGATAGCTTAAAAATCAAGGAAATATTCCAAGAAATCCCGTTTATTTATTTTTTTTTCTTTGTGATGATCTGTATAAATTAAAAAAGTTAATAAATGATAAAAGTCACAATTTAAGTTCCTCCCCTCCCATGTCGCTTATACTAGTAGGTATAAATGGTAAACAATTTGGATTTTTTAGCGAAAATCTTGTTGTCTATGGTATCAAGGCGGATTCATAAACCATAAGTATTAGAGCATGCTATATGACAAAATGTAAATGACGTTTATTAGAAAATTGTAAGGCGACGTCATCAAAGTGTCAGTGGCGATAACTAGACACATTTTGGTTAGAGTTTTACCATCTGCATGATATTTCTAATATACAGCGTGTTATTGAAAGGTACGTACAAAATAAAATCGGCAATTGTTCTCGAAGTATGGGTGCTAAAACTTAAAAAAAGTTCAGGTAAAAGTGTTCTCCTTTTAGAGATAAAAATTATTAAAATTTATGTCCAAATTCGTTGTACGCCTCTGATAAAAAGATCATCTCTCGTTTCTATAGCAACATTTAGTCTTGACAAAAGTTTCATTGATACAGTTGCTAGGATTTACTCAAATTAATTAATTTTACCTATTTATCTTGCAGTAGCGTCTAAAAAGCTTGGATAAGGGTTAATTTTCCCCTTATAATTTTGATAACACAAAATAAGTTTTTCAGACTTCTTAGACTTCGCGACGAACTGACAATTTTGTTGTACGTACCTTTCAATAACACCCTGTATGTACATACAAAATTTGACAACCGGTCCAGTAGTTTCGGAGATCATCTCTTTAATAAAAGTCGACTCAGATAGACAGCAGACGATAGGGACAGAGACGCAAACGGAATACTCTAGGGATCACGAAACGTCTAAAAACCATGAAAACACGAGAAACGTAAACGTTTTAGAAAGGGAGAGTGCTTTAAGTGGGGTTTGAGGTCAAGAAGCCCTGATTGAATTAGAGCTACGCTGATAGTAAGAGTTTATTAAAGTGTCGCCGTCACTTAAAGAATTTTTGTAGATTTATTTCATCAAAATTTTCTGTGACACGCCTTTTCTTGTCTCAGAATTTTAAAAAGAGATCATGTAGGACAATTTCTGTGTTCTAACTGCTTTTGTTTAGGTGTCAAGAGGTCAGAATCTAAGAAAAGTTGGTCCCCTCTTATTTATGTATTCTACGTGTGTGTAAACAGCGATTAACGCCCGAAATTGAGCCAATAATGACTTCTTTCGTCAAATTTCGATGGTTGAGGGATGTCGCAGATGATCGTGATCATTTCTGTTATGTTTTGATTTAGATTAAGATTAACATTAACAATGGCCACAATGTCAAAAAAATGTGGTTTTCGGTCACATTTGGATTAATAAATCAGTCCCTTCATCGGATTATAATAAAAAGTTCAAAGTATGTTGCAAAATAGTGGCCACTTTCGGTTATATAACCCGATCGAACTGATATCTGCCCAGAATTATAACACTCCGAGGTCTTTGAACCGCCCCGAATGAGAAAAAGAATTTCTTCTTTTCATAACATTGTTTCCATTATATTAATATTTCTTATAATTAATGAGAACACAATTAAAACCCGTGCTCGCAATAATCCGGTAAATTAAGAAATTCCGCCTAGAACTGGGCCACCACGTTACTAAACACCTAATCCTCCAGTCAGCCATCGCATCGTCAAACTCAAAAGGGCAAATCCCCGATTACCTCAGTGTGACTCTTCGTATCGAACCCATCTCACGTGAAAGTCAATTGTTCACCATCGAGGCCATCACGACCCGCTGCGTCTCAAATACCTAATTAGAAAAATCCTTATCATTACGCAACGAAATTTCGGCCATGTGGGTGTGTCATTTTCCATAGAAGCCAGCAACGTTTGTCTAACGGCACCCAACCCATAATAACAGCCGTCGGTCCCTCGTAATTAAATCTCCACAAAACGTCGACTCCTAATTGCGGAAGAAGCAGGTGTAATAATGCAAATCGACGCTTCGTAGGTGATTGGCAGCACTGCGCCGTCGGAATTGGAAAGGATGCTTCGACCTTTAATTACGCGGAAAAAAATTCATAACGGCCAAAAGGTTAACATCGGAGCTGGTTCCCCGTGGTATTTATAACTTGTGATGCGCATGTATGTTTACGTTTTACCTTCTCGGTGTGTGTTTGGTTTTTTCTCGTCTTCTTAGCGTTTCCAGTCACGAAGAAGCGCCTTGTGGTTCTCACGGCTCGCCGCCAGAACTGTTAATTTACATCCTCGAGTGATGGACGCCGTCTTGGCACATCAAAGGGCTGGGACGGGTGGCTTCCCTTTGTTTCCGGCGGGCGTTCCAATAGAGCGATTCTTCCCTAAACTATCCCTTTGAGATGGTAATTCGGCAACGGGCTTTTTATTCGCGAATAAAGATCTACAAGTATGCAAATCCGGAAGTGCACCCCTGCAATTCAATTACGGACCCTCATCAGGGTAGGAGGTACCGAATGATCCGGATTTGCATACAGCGGGGCGCTTTTGATAACAGGACCGCGTTCGGGCTCACGGTGCAGACGGAGCGGGATTTTGCCCAAAAGTGGAAGGCGGCCATTACTGGTGCCAATCGATTCTGACTGTTCTAGAAACTTATTATTATCATTATTGTTATTGTTGTTATAAGCCCAAAGATAAGAAACAAAGGTAATTTAATTTTAATTCAGTTCATTAGATTTTACTTCCAAAACATCAAAAACAATCACTCATCATAAAACGACCATCCAACCATAAACCCAATCGAAGAACAATCAATTCCAACCTTCGCCATTATAGCATTATTACGGTATCATCATCTCCGATGCGTTTCTTGATCTTTACGTAGGATGTCGAAAGTAGGTTATAGACATAATGGTGATGCAAATCGCGTTTCACACGACCTCGCCAACACAGATCATCTCACCGTGAATTTTTTAATTTCAGGAAACCCTTACAACTGCGTCGCAATACCTGTTCTCGGCCCTCGACAGCCGGGCCTTCTTGCGATCGGCAACTGTCTTGCTTCCGCCAACATGGCCGGATTCGTGCGCATCCTCGCCGGTGGCTTCCGGCTCGGGTGAAGCCCCTGACGTGACGGTGTTGCCGAGAGGGCCCACGCGGGGGAGGATTTTCACGCAGCAGTCGCTAGGGTGCGGCCAGCCCGGGGACCAGATCTACTTAGCCTACGAAAGTCTGATGCAAAGGGACGGGACTTTGGCGCGCTCGCTGGTGAAGGAGTTCGCGATGTACCGCTACGGCGTCTTCGAGGAGCAAGGTTACTATAGTGACCCGATCTACCCGATGTGTTTCTATGATGACCAGAACAAGAAAGCGAAAGCGACTGGGTGTTCGGACCACCCCATCAACGACTTGGGGTACTACAAACCACTTCCACGTATTTCGCACCTAACGAACCCTCTTTTACAGAATTTGCACCTCCGACTCCAAAACTCCCTATAACACCACGAAAATGGTGTCAGCGGTGGCCCGCAGCTCCATCATGTTCGCAGCTGAAGCTCCTCAAGTGTCCATGTTTTGCGACGACGGCAACCATGACCGGTTCGCACCCACCAAACACAATTCCATGTGTCAGAGACGAAGCGTCCTAGACGTCATTCTCAAACACCAGGACTTCAACTCAAACAATCAAATCAACAACGTGAACAACGACCAACTAGTAGACACCACGATTAGAATCACCTACAAGAAGCAAAATTTAACACGATATGTCTTCGTCTTGGAAAACACCAAAGATATGATGCAGAGGGACTCCTGGAACTACCTTCGTCTGGCTTTGAAGTACTGGGCTTTGACCACCATGCCCGACAATAGCGAAGTTGGAATAGTTTTAGCCGAAGATACCTCAAAGAAGCTCTTGGACATCGTCTCCGTCAAAAACAACAACAAAGACGAAGGTAGCAACAGAGACAAGTTCTACTCGAAAATCCCCTACACACCTACTGATACTTTGCGCCCGGGTTGCCTAGATTGTGCTATCAAAGACGCCGCAGACATGTTAATCGAACGAACGAAGAACCACGGAGCCGCTAATAACGTCATCGTAGTAATAGCGGCCGGAATGAACCCCAGCGAACAACTAACCAAAGTTATGGAAAAAGTAAAGAAGGCGAAGATTAAAGTTGCTACGATCACGTACCCTACGATGATGCGCAGCGATCTTTTGAACCCTCTGGCTGAACAAACCGGAGGCGTGGCTTACACAGTCTTCGAACGCAAACTTAACGTCGATACCACCCTTCTGTCCACCTACTTCGAACTAAAAAACGCCCTTAATGACATAGTGCAGCGGTTCTACTCTGGAACCATCGCAGACCTACCCATCGAGATCCACCGCCGCGAAATCACAGACGACGGGCGAAGTTCCATCACTGGAAGCTTCATGTTTGACACCACCGTAGGCAAACCATCACAGTTCACCTTCTTCACCCACAACTCAGTCACGCCTTTAATCAAAAGTCTGAAACTAGTGAGTCCAAGTCTCCAAACCTTCTCAGAACGGAACGACCGGTACCTGGACTTGAAAATGATCCGATTGACCGCAAATATCTCTGAAAGTGGTACCTGGACCTACTCTGTCGAGCCGTACCCCGGTAACCCTCAACCACACTTTCTCCAAGTGACTGCAACCCCCATTTCGGCCACCGCGCCAGTGGTGAGGGCCCGCTTCTGGACCCACAAAAACCAACCGAACGGGCCTCTAATCCTTCTGGTTGAAGTGAAAAAGGGTGAAATTCCGGTCTTAGGAGCTAAGGTTGAAGTAACCGTGACCAAACCCGAAATTAATGGGTCGTACCCTCACAAAAACCATTTGGAACTACTAGACACTGGTGCGGGCGATCCCGATATCACTAAAGGTGACGGGGTCTACACAAGGTACTTCAGCGCTAGTGACTCCGGGCCAGGGTTATACAACTTCGAAGTCGTCGTTACCGATAATGGTAACACAGCATACACCTGGACTGACTCAGCTAAATTTGATGGTGAGTTTTCATACAGTTTGACATTTCGTAACTAATTGTTTGACTTTCGCAGACAATAAACCTTGCTGCGGCTCAACCATAGCTTCCTCAGGAGTCACCCCAGTCTCCCCCTTCCAACGCGTCTTACCAAAAATAACCATGATGGTAACCTCCCAAGATATCGCAGCCGAAGGTCAAGTTCCCGCGGGACGCATCGGCGATTTAAAATCACACGTCATTCCAGAAGATATGAAGGCGCGTCTTAGTTGGACTGCGCCTGATATGAGTGGTCACACAGTTTCTCGGTACGACATCAAGTACGCCAGTTCGGTCCAAGACATCACTGATGGTTTTGAAACTGTGGCAAAATCGTGGGATAATGCTCAGCCTTTCCCCTTGGCACCGGGTTCTGAAACCACCTTCACCATTGACATGTCACAGAACAAGGACCTTCTAGATAAACCTCTGTATTTTGCGATCAAAGCATATCCCAAGTTTTCGTCAGACTTGAGTGGACCTGTGTCCAACTGGATTCGGGTTTTGGTACCTTCACCACCGCCACCACCAACGGTGCCACCCACCTCTCCGTCACACGAACAACCCTTCTGGCCTAACAGTAACGCCAATTCCGTGGGGGTGAACCCAGTGAGTCCTAGCATATCCAAAACGATGGGGGTTGGGTTGGAATTGATCCTTCCAATAGTGATAGGTTTTATTCTTTTGATCATCCTCTTGATCGTGTATTGTTACTTCTGTATTTTGAAAAAACGCCACCACCGGGACCACCATAAAAAGTCCAGTGGGTCAATCAAGAATGATAAGTTATCGTCGACCATCACCATCGTTCCGAGTAGTCCGCAGAACGTCCCGCAGACCCAGAATACTTACGCGGCTGCCGATATGCCAGATCCTCACCAGATCGGGGTACCCGTGAAGTACGAATACGAAGAAGATACGAAGAAAAGGTACTCTTTGGTTAATCAGCAAGAACAACAACTGATTGAAGAGTTGAAGCAGCAACAGATGGCACAACGGGAGTTGGGGACTCCTAATAACGGGTACCAAGGGTTGAGTGTCATCTCTAGTAGTACCTTGAACCGCAACGGTCACACCCTCAGTCCGTACAACTCCTGGAGTGCCTCTCAGCTTTTGCACGAACATGAACGTCGACACAGCCCCCTTGAAGCCATGGACGACCAAATGAGCCCCCATCAAGATTTAATGATGACCGCCCCCGACCACATGTCCCTCAATGGGCAAAATATGGACCACATGAGTTTGAACGGGCACCACGTTCCTGATCATTACCAAAGCCAGCACGTGCCGCCTCCAGTGCCGCCACTACCCGCCTTCAATAATGGTTACCCAGTCAACTACAACATATACGGGGTGCACCAAGGCAACCAACAAGGTCACCCCATCTACCAGTCTATGCAAAGGAGCGGCGAACCTCTCGTTCCTTTTAACCCGAGTCTGCAAGGATCCTTGTCTTCTGTTAACAGTGGTGATAAGAAAAGACGGAATGTGACGATGGTGTAACGGTGCGTGATCACAAAAACTTGCACGACGACGTATTTATATGATGTGTAATTTTTTTGTTGGACTTTTTGTAAATTTTGTTTGCTAGTCAATGTTGATGTACGTTTTATAATGTAAAGCCAGTACTTAGGTGTAAGATTATTTGTAGTTTTATACAAATTTTATTTGATGAGACTGATCTCGGAGTTTTTATGTAGCCAATGTGGGTCGCCGTTCTGTAATCGCGTTTGTATGTTAGCTACATGGAGTGTATATAGTAGTGCGTAGGTTAGGAGTATGACAGATGTGTATATATTTTGATATTGTTTTTGTAATTTCTAAATAACTACGCAATAAATAAGATATTCAGTTCACTGTGTTTTAGAAATTATTAATGAGTTCCTTCAGGCAGTCTTGAGATCTTGCTTGTATGGGATTCTGAATCCTATTTCCTAGCTTTCAGAGAACAATATATTTTCTAAGTATAGTGCAAAAAAATACCTTATAAACTATTGTCATAGAGGACATTTCAACCACAACCACATGTATAGTGTGTTGCCTATCGCCATCTTTAACAACTGATCGAAATAAAGATCGTGTTGTTCAAAAAATACTATGTGTAGCATTAGTAGTAACAAAAAATTAAAGCCAAAGATTAAGCCCCACCCATACCACCTGCCTTGACCTGAATATGTAGTAATGAAGTTTTCATTCGTTGCCAGACCTAGGGGCGGAGCCTAATTGCAAAATTCACATTTCATTAGAAAAATTTATCATGTTAAACGTGTTTCAATTGTTTCGAGTTTCTAAGAATAAAAAAAATCATCACAATGGAGATGGGGTGGGCGGGCGGGGTTTATATTTTGTTTGTTTGTTAATATACGTAGGATTTTTTGAACAACACGACACTCAAAAACATGTTTTTAATTTCTTGTAAACAAATAAGTATTTTGCAGTTAAACTCCGCCCCCTTGGTTCACGGCGAATAAAAAAATCATCACAATTGAGATAGGGCGGGTGGGGGGGGGCTTACATTTTGCCTTTTTGTTTTCACACATCAAACTCCTCGGTCTGACAACGAATGAAACATTCATTACGATTGATAGGGTGGGATTCTCTTTTGGTTTTCTTTTTTAATTAATACGTTTTCTTTGAATAACACGATTACTTAAGAACATATTTCACATGGTAGTTTCTCGTAGAAAAATAAGAACTTTACAATTAACATCCGTCCCTTGGCTTACAACGAATAAAAAAATCATTAGAATTGAGATAGGGTGGGTGGGCGGGGCTTATATTTTGCCTTTTTTTCTTAATATACATAACCATCTCTTCACAACAAAAAACATAAAACATGGTTAAAATGCTACATTTTTGCAAGGAAATATGGATTTTGCAATTATAGGGCGGAACCTAACTGCAAAATCGATAGTTCCTTATACAAATTTTCCATTTTAAACAAGTTTTAAGTTTCATGTTGTGATGACCGAATTTGAATCAAATTTTCGCGCTGAAATTAATTAACAGCGGCGCGAAATCACATTTGAATAATTTGAATTTGAAAGAAAAAAAATCAATCAAAAAATCGTTAAACATAGGCAACCAAATATGCACGTAGCGCTTGGGGTTAGTTCTGTATGTTTAGTTAGAGGGCGGCTTGGTTAGAGAGAGCGGCATGTTGAAAGCGTGAGTCATTGTGTTTTTGTTCGGTGTAGTGAACGCATGGAAAAAAGACGCTGTAAGTAGCTAGGTTAGATTAGCTGGTTTGGTAGTTCATAAAAAGGGAGGAAACCTTTGTTTAACGACAATCAATCAATTGCGGCTTTTTAATCGGAAAAGTGTTAATTTTCGGGACTAACGCGAACTACGTGGCATAAATTTGTGTGTAAATTCACCAATCAAGTTAGTTTTTTTAATCGTCAGCTAGTGCTAACATAATTTAACAATCAAGATTATTTAAATAAACCACTTCCTAGAAGATTTCATGAAATTCACTTTGTCAGGATAACACCTTTGTTGTTTAATTACGAATAAGTTTCTGGATGCATATACGTAAGTGTTACATTATAACACTTCTTAATTCTTCACACAAGATTGCTGGTAGTTCATTTACGGCAGTAAAATTAACAACATTCATATCGCGAACTGACGAGGGGTTAAAACAATTTCTTCCCCAAGGCGGTTATCATCGTTATCATGATTACGTCACTGAGGCATTTCCTCGCAACGCTAAAGTTTGATTACAACACCTGGGCATGTCCTCGCAACGCTAAAGATTGATTTACATCATCGAGGAATGTCCTCACAACTTTAAAGATTGATTACATCATCGAGGCGTTTCCTCGCAACGTTAAAATTTACATCATCTAGGCGTTTCCTAGCAACGTTAAAATTTACATCATCGAGGTATTCCCTCGCAATGATAAAATTTACATCACCGAGACGCTTTTTCCTCGCAACGATAACTGAATATTTTTGTGTTTATTTATTATTTGTTTTGTTGGGGTATCCAGTTTGCGGTATTTTACACTCTCAAAGTAAACTCTTTGTTTGAATCGTTGGCAAAGTGTGGCAAGTATTAATCTCATGTAAATTTTGTTAATTTTGCAATTTTTCATTTCATACAATACTTCTCTCTCTCTCAGTTTTAACCTCAGTTATTTTCCTTTTTATTATTTTATTAGCCCCAATTTCCGCTTGTGCTAGAACGCCCCAGGGGTAGTTTTGTTGTGCTACTGCTAACTGCCGTAACTTTAAATTTGACGCCATACGCCCGTAATAGCTTGTGTATTTGCATCCAGTTACTTTAATTCAGATGTTGCTTTGTTTTTAATAAATTTGTGATATTCAAATATTTGCATTGATGCATTTTACATATGTGTAGGATTTTGTGTTTGTTCAGTTTTCATATGTGTATGTCTGTCAATTCGCGAGTGTCTTTTCTTTCATATTTTTAAGGTGTTTCATTTGAAATGTAAAATGTCGGTGAATATAGCCCTTGGGGGTTTTTGGAGATGAAAAACGATGGCGACTCGGCCCTCCTGGGGCGCCAGAAGGGCACGTCCAAGTCACCTTCGCTCGTCGCTTCTTTTCCTCCTAGGGAGGGGTGCGATTTTAGCCCCTCCCAAAAATTTTGTCTATTATTTCTTGCGATCTCGACTCACACGCAATGTATGCTCACTTGTATGAAAGAACGTCTTCCCGTCATGTTTAAAAAAAAAACACAACTTTGTTTGACAATCACAGCCAAGGCCAAATTTTGAATTTTTCGCGGGTCTTTCAAACTGTTTCAAGGTCAATTTAAGGCGGGAAGTTTGGGTTATCACAATGTTGTGAAAATAAGTCTACATATATTAAAACAAAAAGGCAAAATGTAAGCCCGCCCACCCGCCCTATCTCAATTCTGATGAACTTTTTTATTCGCCGTGAACCAAGAGGGCGGCGCTTAACTGCAAAATACTTATTTCGTTACAACTTTTCAAACAAACACCCATAATCAGCTTACGTGACGCGTTCGAATTTGCCGCCGAATAATTACCGAGTATGAACTTCGGATATCCTGTATTTTGGGGCAGGTGAGCCGCGGAATCAGAAACGCGAATATCGACATGAACCGTCGTTAATTTCGACGATCTCAAGTCAGTTCCTCGTAAGTTCGAAATTCGGAAACTTAGTGGAGAACACAAATTCCCTACTCAAATTTTGTTAAATAGTTTTGGACGTCAAATCAATATACGTTGGGTTGGTTTACATCAAAAGTGGGATTTATAAACTTGCTGTTGACGTTGAAGTTCCCGTTGTAGTTGCTGTTCCCACTGACGTTGCTTTTAGAGCTGAAAATTTTCTACTCTTGATAGTAACTTTGATGTTCAACTTTTGGCGTATTTAAAGGAGTTTTGAAAGAAAAGTGACGAATTTAATTTGATTACTACAAAAATTTACTGTTTTAGACATGTTTTAAGTTTCTTGTTGTCGAAATAAGTTTGCACATATTAAGAAAAAAAAAAAAGGCAAAATGTTGCCCCGCCCATCCGCCCTATCGCAATTGTGATGATAGTTTTATTCGTCGTGAGCCAAGGGGGCGAAGCTTAACTGCAAAATCTTTATTTCTTTACGCGAAATTAAAAACATGTCTTTGTTCAAAGAATACCTACTATGTATATTAAGAAAAAATTAAAGCCAACTATTAAGCCCCACCCATACCTGCCGTGATCTAAATATGTAGTAATAAAGTTTTCATTCGTTGCCCGATCTAGGGGCGGGGCGTAATTCCAAAATCCATATTTCCGGAAAAAAAATTACCATTTTAAACGTGTTTTAAGTTTCTTAGAATAAAAAAAAAACATCACAATTGAGATCGGGCGGGTGGACGGGGCTATATTTTGCCTTTTTTTCTTAATATGCGTAGTATTTTTTTAACAACACAACACTCAAAAACATGTTTTTAATTTCTTGTAAAGAAATAAGTATTTTGCAGTTAAGCGCCCCCTTGGTTCACGGCGAAAAAAAAAATCATCACAATTGAGACAGGGCGGGTGGGGGGGCTTATAGTTTGCCTTTTTTTTTTTAATACGTGTAGAATCGTTTTCACAACATCAAACTTAAAACATGTTTAAAATGGAAAATTTGTACAGGGAAATATCGATTTTGCAATTACGCTCCGCCCCTCGGCCTGCCAACGAATGAAAAATTGATTACGATTGATGAGGTCGGGTTCTCTTTTGGCTTTCTTTTTTAATTAATACGTTTTCTTTCTATAACGCGATTACTTAAAAACATATTTCACATGGTAATTTCTCGTAGAAAAATAAGGATTTTACAATTAACATTCGCCCCTCTCGAAATTGAGATTGGGTGGGTGGGCGGGGCTTATATTTTGCCTTTTTTTCTTAATATACATAACCATCTCTTCACAACAAAAAACTTAAAACATGGTTAAAATGGTACATTTTTGCAAGGAAACATGGATTTTGCAATTATAGAGCGGAACCTAATTGCAAAATCGATATTTCCATACACAAATTTTCCATTTTAAACATGTTTTAAGTTTCATGTTTTGAAAAGAAGTCTACAACATTAAAACAAAAAGACAAAATGTAAGCCCGCCCACCCGCCCTATCTCAATTCTGATGATCTTTTTTTATTCGCCGTGAATCAAGAGGGCGGAGCTTAACTGCAAAATACTTATTTCTTTACAACTTTTCAAACAAACACCCATAATCAGCTTACGTAACGCGTTCGAATTTGCCATCGAAACAATTACCGCGAGTATGAACTTCGAAGTTTCAAGTCAGTTCCTCCTAAGTTCGAAATTAGACAAACTTAGGGGAGAAGGCAAATTCCTTACTGAAATTTTGTTAAATTTTTGGGCGCCAAATCAATGTACGTTGGGTTGGTTAACGTCAAAAGTGGGATTTACACACTAGCTGAAAATTGTCATTTATAAACTCCGTTGCCAAGTTGCCGTTGATAGTAACTTTAATGGTCAATTTTGTTCTATTTAAAGGGGTTGTATTAGGAAAGTGGAAGATTGATTACTACAAAAATTTACCATTTTAAACATATTTTAAGTTTCTTGTTGTCGAAATAAGTCTGCACATATTAGGAAAAAAATGCAAAATGTTGCCCCGCCCACCCACCCTATCTCAATTGTGATGATAGTTTTATTAATCGTGAGCCAAGGGGGCGGAGCTTAACTGAAAAATCTTTATTTCTCTACCAGAAAGTAAAAACATGTTTTTGTTCAAAGAATACCTACTATGTATATTAAGAAAAAATTAAAGCCAATTATTAAGCCCCACCTGATCTAACCAGTAATAAAGTTTTCATTCGTTGCCCGATTTAGGGGCGAAGCCTAATTGCAAAATCCATATTTCCCAACAAAAATTTACCATTTTAAACATGTTTTAACTTTCTAAGAATAAAAAAATCATCACAATTGAGATGGGTGGGTGGGCGGGGCTATATTTTGCCTATTTTTCTTAATATGCGTAGTATTTTTTTAACAACACAACACTCAAAAACATGTTTTTAATTTCTTGTAAAGAAATAAGTATTTTGCAGTCAAGCTCCGCCCCTTGCTTCACGGCGAATAAAAAAAATCATCACAATTCAGACAGGGCGGGTGGGGGCCCTTATAGTTTGCCTTTTTGTTTTAATACGTGTAGAATCGTTTTCACAACATCAAACTTAAAACATGTTTAAAATGGAAAATTTGTATAGGGCAATATCGATTTTGCAATTACGCTCCGCCCCTCGGCCTGCCAACGAATGAAAAATTCATTACGATTGATGAGGTCGGGTTCTCTTTTGGTTTTCTTTTTTAATTAATACGTTTTCTTTCTATAACGCGATTACTTAAAAACATATTTCACATGGTAATTTCTCGTAGAAAAATAAGGATTTTACTATTAACATCCGCCCCTCTCGAAATTGAGATTGGGTAGGTAGGCGGGGCTTATATTTTGCCTTTTTTTCTTAATATACATAACAACATAACCATCTCTTCACAACAAAAAACTTAAAACATGGTTAAAATGGTACATTTTTGCAAGGAAACATGGATTTTGCAATTATAGAGCGGAACCTAATTGCAAAATCGATATTTCCATACACAAATTTTCCATTTTAAACATGTTTTAAGTTTCATGTTGTGAAAAGAAGTCTACACACATTAAAACAAAAAGGCAAAATGTAAGCCCGCCCACCCGCCCTATCTCAATTCTGATGATCTTTTTTTATTCGCCGTGAATCAAGAGGGCGGAGCTTAACTGCAAAATACTTATTTCTTTACAACTTTTCAAACAAACACCCATAATCAGCTTACGTAACGCGTTCGAATTTGCCATCGAAACAATTACCGCGAGTATGAACTTCGAAGTTTCAAGTCAGTTCCTCCTAAGTTCGAAATTAGACAAACTTAGTGGAGAAGGCAAATTCCTTACTGGAATTTTGTTAAATTTTTGGATTGGTTAACGTCAAAGGTGGGATTTATAAACTTGCTGAAAATTGTCATTTATAAACTCCGTTGCCAAGTTAAAGTGCTTGTATAAGAAAAGTGAAGGATTGATTACTACAAAAATTTACCATTTGAAACATGTTTTAAGTTTCTCGTTGTCGAAATAAGTCTGCACATATTAAGAAAAAAAGGCAAAATGTTGCCCCGCCCACCCGCCCTATCGCAATTGTGATGATAGTTTTATTCGTCGTGAGCCAAGGGGGCGGAGCTTAACTGCAAAATCTTTATTTCTCTACGAGAAATTAAATGTTTGTGTTCAAAGAATGCCTACTATGTATATTAAGAAAAAATCAAAGCCAATTATTAAGTCCCACCCATAGCTGCCCTGATCTAAACAGTAATAAAGTTTTCATTCGTTCCCCGATCTAGGGGCGGAGCGTAATTACAAAATCCATATTTTCGGACAAAAATTTACCACCATTTTAAACGTGTTTTAAGTTTCTTAGAATAAAAAAGATAATCACAATTGAGATGGGGTGGGTGGGCGGGGGTATACTTTCCCTTTTTTCTTAATAGGTGTAGACTTATTTCGACAACAAGAAACTTAAAACGTGGTAAATTTTAGCAACGTCAGTGGGAACAGCAACTGCAACAGGTTTATAAATCCCCCTTTAACCCTAGGGGTTTTGTTTTTCATGTCTCAGTAACACATCTTTTTTTTCCTCCGACAAAAAACGTTTGGCGCATGCGGACTTCAATGTTATGCTACTCTGTCAAATTTGTTTTGCCGCTAAGAAACGTTTTTAGGTTATATTGTTAAAAAGTTTGAAATTAAGCAATTACCTTACAAAAATGGCATCGTCAGGCGATAAATCAAAGGTACTTGACGTTGCCTCATCAATACTCCATTAATATTACCATTTTCCTTTTCAGTCGAACCCCAATGAACAAAAAGAGAAGAAACGTAAAGAGTCCATTTTAGACCTTTCCAAGTACCTAGAGAAGACAATTAGGGTTAAATTCGCCGGTGGTAGAGAAGCCAGTGGGATCCTCAAGGGTTATGACCCCCTTTTGAACCTAGTATTAGACAACACAATCGAATACCTTCGGGATCCAGATGATCCATACAAACTGACAGAAGACACTCGAGCGCTGGGTCTAGTCGTGTGTAGGGGTACCAGCGTGGTGCTAATATGCCCAATGGACGGCATGGAGTCGATACAGAACCCATTTATTTCACAAGACTAATTTTGTACAACATTATTAATACATAGTTATTTTGCAATGCTGTCTTGATTTGAATGTTGAATGGATGACGTGAGGTCAGGTGCTTGGATGAAACCGTCATTGCCGGTGACGTTTGACGTGTGACAAATGTTACTAAATTTCACACTAGCGTGTTATTCGTAACATTATTTTAATTAATTTAAACAAAAGCGGCTTGTTCTAGTAAAATATGCTTTTTTCGCAGTACCATGACCTTTCCCTCTATTCATTCTCGGTAAGTTTCCCCTAGAGAGCACGTCCAATTGTCCAAACGCGCTCACCGCGCATGCGCCACAGGTAAAAGTAGTCCTGTGACTCACTGCCGCCATTTTGGTCGCGAAAAAAGTGACAGTGGTGACAGTTCGTAATAGTAGTCTAAGAAAATGCCGGTTAGGGTGGATATTACGCCTCCCCCGCCGGCTAACTCCAAGCAGCCAGGTGTAACAAAGTCCCTTCTGTATAATGGATCGAAATTCCAGGGTTTCCAGAAGTCCAAGGGCAATTCGTACGAAGTGGAAGTGGTTTTACAGGTTAGAACGACTGAAGCGTCCCTAAGCTCGCCCACCCGAACACCCAACCGATCTTCCACCCACACCGACTAATCCTTTACCCTTGCCCTATAAATCGCTGGACCCTTACTCACTATTTATTTAAAGAAAACTAAAAATATCAACATATGCTAATGTGACATTTAAAATGGCGGGAAGTTCAAACTTTTTTCTATTTCTAGCACGTAGATGAAGAGAATTCGTACTTGTGTGGATATTTACAAATAAACGGGCTTACTGACGAGTACCCGACACTCACGACGTTCTTTGACGGGGAAATTATTAGCCAGAAGTACCCCTTTCTTACTAGGAAATGGGACGCCGATGAAGACGTCGATAAGAAGCACTGGGTAAGGCGTCGGTGTTTATAAACACGTGACCATGACTCACGAGCAAAAGACTAGAAATTTGTTCCAAAAACTTGAAATTTAACCAATCAAGGAATAGTTTTGTACTACTTATAAATATAATTGTATTTTGTAAAATTATGTCACCATTTGAGCGTAAAACGTATTTTTTGAAATTTTTTGTTTGTGTTGTACTAATTCTGAAGGTTATTCTAGAGTGATAAGCAAAAAAGATATAATCATAATTCAATTGTTGTTCAAGTACTATTTAATTAAGTTTTTTATAATCAATATTTGCTTGAGAAATCCAGCTTTAACACTTATTACGCAGTTACAAGATATGTCCGTGGAAACACGAGATCCGTGTTGGCTGTGTTTTAAAAACTTGGGTTGGCAGTTGTGTCTAACCTAAAAACACTGACGTCATGTGACATTTCGAACCAACATAACCTCGTTTTTATTTGATTAAATTGACCTTGTGAAATTAATTGCAGAGCAAATTTTCTTCCTTTTCGCAATACGCCAAAACTTTCAACTCGGACAACTTCGATTATAAGGCGCTCTCTGACACGGACTACGTTTTTATGCGGTGGAAGGAGCACTTCCTGGTGCCGGATCACACCATCAAGGATATCAGTGGCGCCTCGTTCGCCGGGTTCTACTACATTTGTTTCCAGAAGTCTAAGGCGACGATTGAGGGCTACTATTACCATCGGAGCAGCGAATGGTTTCAGTCGTTGAACTTAACACATGTGCCTGAAAATAGTATACAAATTTACGAATTTAGGTGAATTTCTTATCAGTAATTCAGTTCCCCGTTTGATTTTTGATCCGTTAATCTCATGCATGCTCTCTTAGTGCAAAAAATTAGTTGCAGTATTTCTTTTGTTCACATAATCAAAATGGATGTTCTAGTTAGCAGTATTCTGTGATTTACACACATTTAATGTTTCGGTAGTTTGGCATCGTTTCTTTCAAGTACTGAGTCACGACTGGGTAAATGTACATTTTAATTTTTAAGTTTTATCTGTAAAAACTTTCGTTGACATCATTTTAGAGTAAGTCATTATTGTTATGTATATTGTGTATAAATGTATTGAATATATTTTTTTGAATTGTTTTTATCTTGGAGTTTTAGTAATAATTAAAACCCAAATATAGAAATTTATTCAGTATCGGTTATAATTATTGTATTGAGATACATCTTGTTAAATAAGAAAATAACGTGAGAACTATTTACGTAACATAAAACTGTTAGTAAAAAGTATATAAATAAAGTAAAAAAAAGTACAGGTTAAATTAAGCGGTGCTATTTACATAATTTAAAAGGTAACACAATCAACTATATACAAAAAACCAAACAACTAAGGTGCAATACTGACTTATCCACTAAAGTACTCAATAAACGTCAAAAATCGACAGGCGGTCATTTTCCAGCCGACCTGTCAATCACACTGATACACAAAGTACTCTAATCAAATAAATGACAAGTATTTACATTTATCGACTATACCCGAACTAGGACGGTTACGCAACAAACTGCCTCATTTTCAAACTAAATTTGAAATGATTAGTTCCTGACAGTTAATGTATTCACTTGATATGTCAATATATCAAACAATAATTTTTGTACAATATCACAAAAACCTAACGAACTTAAACAAAAACACACAACAAGTATCAAGATATGGTACACGAATTCCTCGGGACGCAACTCGTTCTGGTGTCGCTTCCTGGCGACGTCGGTGTACTGATGAACCTAAGTTTGCGCCCGTTGCTTTTCCTTTGACTGTGCGTGTATTTGAGCTGAGTCGAGGTCGTGGTTAATGCGTAGGACTTCAAGTAGGACTTTACGCACGTCGGTAAGGGTAGCTGTTCAATGCTGTAGACTGTAGTTCGGGCTACGATGGCTCGACAACAAAGTTCTTGGAGGCTCAACACTAAAAAAAAACACGATTTCGGTGAAAAAAGTAAAAGTTGAAGATTAACATTCGAGTGAATCGTCTTTGTTTGTATTCACTCAAGCATTAATATGTACGGGTTTTTATTTATTTTGTGTGGGAGAGTAATGAAACAAGTTTATTTATTGTTTACATTAAAAAAAAAAAAAAAAATGCGGTCGATAAAATACTGTAGTTTTTGACATGCGAAGCCTAAATTGTTCTTGGAAGCGTCATTTCTCGCAGTTTTTTTTCCTATTTGTTCTTGGTTCCCATGCTACTAACACGTTAAGTCATGCCATTGTTGTTCATACCTGTTAGTTCGAATTAAATGAGCGGATGGAAGCCTTGTTTTATTTGTTCGCAGTTTACACATTTTTTCGTCTCGACTGTGCACAACGAATATTAAAAATGGCACAACAATGTCACTGATAATCTAAATATAGTCTGCTCTTTTAATATTATAATTCGAAGGTAAACACTTTTCACTATTCAAAAACATGCACTTTTTATGCACAGGAATGCACTCAAAGTTCAATCTACCGTGAAGTAATAAATTCATGCCAACATGATTTTAAAACACAGCTTTTTTTTTTTTTTCGTTACTAATTCTGGAGCAACAACATTAACATTCAGCAGAAGTCTGCCATTACTAAACTATTCCAGAAACCTTGATACCGGTTTTCCATTGTTTAATGTCTTCCTGAAACCTCTCACCTTTGCTGATCCTTGACTTCATCAAAGTCTGCAGAGAAAAATCTAAATGTCAATGCCCAAAATGAAGCTTGGGTAAGACATGAAATGCCATTTATATATAGATGTGTAGAAATTTCTGGGTGTCACTACATATTAAAATTCGAAGATTTATTTCCAGAAATGAAAGCTCAAAAGATTATCTATAAAAACGTCGTCGTTCAATTTGGCAACACTGAAATCGATTTAAGCCAACTCGGGCTTTTACGAAACTGAATAAATATGATATGTGATCGTCTAGTAGGCCATGGAATTTATTTCTACATTAATGATGTTGCTCATAATAGTTAATTTGACAGTTATTTGATCGTAACTGTCAAACCGAACAAGGAACGCGTTGGTGCTCCCAATTTTTAACGTTAAAATTGAATAGTTGATAGATAATCCATAAAAAGAAACATAATTCTTTAAAGCTTCATTTTATATTCATGAACATTTAACAGATGATAAAAAATGTTTGTTTGGAGTAGATCACGGGAATATTTTTTATATAATCCATTCAATTCTTTTTCGACGTTCCGTGGCTCTTAGAATACGAAAAAGTAGGTCCTGGTTTTGTCTGTCGTCTGTTAATGAATTTATTAGGCAAGTGAATTCAGAAATCAACAGATTGTTATGAAATTTTAGACAAACTTTAGGCACCTAGTTGGTAAAGTGCTACTCAACTTTGTACCAAAAATGTTGTAACGTCATTTTAAAATTTTGCTGAATAATCTAGGACTTATCAAGTAAAATGCTTCTAAATGTGTGGTTTTTGAAAAAAAAGACTTGTTTAATGTTTTTTGGAGGTGTTATAACCCCTAGACTACGAAACAATAGGTCTCCCATTTCCTTCTGTCTGCCGCCTGTCCAGATTCTTATTACATATAATTTCCGAAATGCTGGACCGATTGTTATCTAATTTTATTTACTTTACACATTAATATTATTTTACTTAAACTTATTTTTGCTTATTTTGTCTCCTAATTGGTCGACTCTAGTGTTTTTTTGGTGCCTGATTTTATCCCTTTTTTACGCTTATTTTTTAAGCTTCTTTTCTGTCGATTTTTTCCCGTAGTTTTTTGTCCCCTTATTTGTCGCGTTTTGGTCCCGTCTTTTTTTTTCTTATTTTTTTATCACTCTTTTTAGATATCACATTTTATTTGCTCTTTTTTTTCTCGCTTTTGTTGTCGATTTTTTTAATCTTTTTTTTTCATCACTTTACTTAATTATATGTTCTTCTACAGAGGGGGAATCTGGTCTCTAACATGAAAAAAAAAATTGAGGACGGGTGTATGGGTGGGGTTAAGTTTAATTTTGTCCCACATAAGCAAGTAATAGCCCCGCCCACCCACCCTTTCTTCATTCTGATGACTACTGTTACTGTTAATTATTATTTTATTAGAATCTTAAGCAAATCGGTTAAACCATTAGTAAGAAAATATATAATGTTAAACGAAATACTCAATAAAAATAAAAAAATTCTACCGCTTGTCAAACTAGAATTCAATTCCCATTTTAAAGTAAATAAAATAAGTCAGTGAAATGGCGTTTAATAAGTAAGATTAGCCCCGCCCATGCATCCCCTCTTCATTCTAGAAATTAAGCCCCGCCCACCCACCCTCTTTTCTTAGAAGGTATGTCATTTGTCAAAATCAGTCTTATCTTAACATGTAATAAATATGGTCCAACCGAGGAATGACTACTTTCAAGTTTTCTCGACGTTTCATAACCCCAAGAGTATGAAACAATAGTCTCCCGTTTCCGTCTGTCCAAATTTTTATTAAACAGATAATCTCGGAAACTACTGGCTTCATTGTTATTCAATTTTAGATGTATGCTATCAACATCGCGTAGATAGTAAAACACTAACCAAAATTTGTCTAATTACCACCACCAACAATTTGATGACATCATTTCAAGGTTTGCATATTAATATCATTTTAATGTTGTAGAATTATACACTCGTACACTTGTGGTTTATGAATCCTCCTTATAAATTTCGACCAGTTTTTTCGTCATTCTTTTTTGTTTTTTCTAGCGTTTCTTTGTCCTCTATTTTTGGTCACTTTTTCTTATCGGTTTCTTTTTGTTGCTTTTATAACGTCTTTTTGCTCCGTCGTTTTTTGCTTAACCTTAAGCTAAGGAAGTATTGTAATTATTATTATTGTTATTTTTAGTATTACATTGCGCCAATCCAAGTTGATATACGTGTCCTTGCAAAAATATTGATGACGTCATTACAAAATTGTGTAGAAAAAAACTCAACTCGAAAATGTGAATATGTTTCATTGGACTTCAGGAGCAAAGGAAGTTCTGTCGAAACAACTTTCGACCAATTTTTTTGTTATACTAATTGCTATGAGATTTATTTCTTATTTTAGAAGCAAAAACTGTGAGCACGGGTGGGTGGGCGGGTTTTAACTCTGTCCTACATAAAGCAAATAATAGCCCCGCCCACCCACCCTCTCTACATTGTGATTATTACTGTAAATACTGTTATTTAATGACATTATTATTTTATTAGAATCTTAAGCAAATCCGTTAAACCCTTAGTAAGAAAATGGATAAATTGTTAAACAAAATACCCAGAAAGTATAAAGCTATAATTATAAAATACTATTTTGAGTGATTAAAATTGAATAAAAGTGGATGGGCGGGGCCACTTTTGACTTTGTTTTAAATCTTAAATTCTACCGCTTGTCAAACTAGAATTCAATTCCCATTTTACAGCAAATAAAATAAATCAGTGAAAAGCGTCTTATAAGTAAGACGTAACCCCGCCCATCCATCCCTTCTTCATTCTAGAAACTAAGCCCCGCCCACCCACCCTTGAATTTCTTAGAGAGTATGTGATTTGCCAAAATCAATCGTTTTTTAAAAAGTATTAGTCCCGCCCACCCGCCCTCTATTTTCTTAGAGGATATGCCATCTGCCAAAATTAGTCTTATCTTGGCACGTACTAGCCCCGCCCACCCATCCCCTATTTTCTTAGAAGATATGTCATTTGTCAAAATCAGTCTTAGCATGTAATAAATAGGGTTCAACCGATGAGTGGCTACTTTCAAGTTTTCTTGACATTTCATAATCCCTAGAGTATGAAACAATTTCTGTCTGTCCAGATTTTTATTAAACAGATAATCTCGGAAACTACTGGATTCACTGTTGTTCAATTTGAGATGTATACTATAAATAGTTTGTATATTGAAATCATTTAAATGTTGTAGAATAATACACTCGTACACTTGTGGTTTATGAATCCGGCTTATACCTTTCGACCAGTTTTTTAGTCCCTTTTTTTGTTGTGATTGTTTCTTCCCTCTTTTTTTGTTTTTTAGTTTTTTTGGTGGCGGTTGTTTATCGTTTTTTGCATATTTTGTTAACCTTTTTTGTAGCGTTTCTTTGTCTTCTCTTTTTTGTCGCCTTTTCTTGTCGGTTTCTTTTCGTAGTTTTTTTCTTGTTGCAATTTTTGTCCCCATATTTATCGTATCTTTTTGTTGCGTTTTTTAGCCCTTTTATAATGTCTTTTTGCTGCGTTCTTTTTTGCTTAACCTTAAGCTAAGGAAGTATTGTAATTGGGTCCATCGGACAAATGGCTATTTTCATGTATTCTCGACGTTTCATGACCCCAAGAGTACGAAACAATAGGTCTCCCGTTTCTGTCTATCTGTGTCGATTTTTATTAGATAGATATTGTCCGAAACTACTAGACCGATTGTTGTTTAATTTCATGTGTATTTTAGGAATAGATAGAATAGAATAGACCAACAATTTGCTGACGTCCCCTCATTATTTTGCGAGGTAACGGTTCTCTAAATTTTATAAAATTATATATTCCTGTACTTGGACATTATAAATCCGCCTTGAATTTTTTCGCAATTACTTTACATTTTTTTTGTGTAAAATTTTCCACGTAAAGATTCTGCATCAAATGCTTCATACCCGTGTGGAATTCGCTGATGGATTCTCGGATACGAGATGAGTGTGGGTTCGAATCCCATCGTTGCCGAATGTTTTTTTTTACACGGTGACTATGTAAGAGTTATCATAAAATAAATAAAATTTAGACCAATTTTTCATCACCCTTACAGTCCTAAAAAATAGGTCTCCCATTTGTAATTGATCTGCATCGATTTTGCAGATAATCTCCGAAACTACCGGATCGATTATTATCAAATTTTATATGTATTTTAGGAATATCGTGTAAAGCTAACTAAAATGTGTCTAATCATCCCCACCAACAATGTGATGACGTCCCCTATCATTTACGTAGTTGGAAGTTATCTAAATTGTATGAAATAAACTCCTGTACTCGTGGTTTATGAATCCGTCTTGATTTTTATCACGAAAATAGTTTTCGTATGGTTCAAAATATCAAGCTTCTGCATCAAATGCTTCATAATCAAGTAGGATTAATAGTTGATTGAGTAAGTTCAGTCTAAATAACCACTTTTTATTTTGAAGGTTGGTATTCCTGATTTCACAATGTGGAATAATTAAAATTTGACAGAACTGATAGGTACTTGTCAGCGTGGAACGAAATTCAGCTTATTTCTATTACTTACTTTCATTATTTTTTTTAAATAAAGACGTTAAATTTCCTCAACAGAAAAAAATAGTGCAAAAACTTGTTTCATAAGGTCATTGTCACACTCATTCTTTGTAAAACTCGAACTCGTATTATAATAATGGACCATACAAAACACGTTTTAACGGATTATTGATCAAATTTAAATTTTTGACATTTGACGCTTTAATCCGAGACATGAAAAATATTTCCATAGCCACCCTAATCTATAAACTTTCACTACGACGCCAAGACAATCTTAAAAACCGACAAATTTCAACGATTTCGGATAATTCTAAAACCGTTGAAAGTGTTTCCACGAACTTTTAACTAAAACAGTGTCACGTTTCTCTATTTTAAAGCAATTCTTTGTCCAACTTAACATGACACTAAATTCGAAACTAAATTTAGGATGAGTGCAACTTCTATTACAGAAACAGGAAAAACCGCATCATCGTTCTAAATTTAAAACAACGATATTTTAAGCCAATTTTGTAACGCAAAATTTTAATTGTAAATCGCCAAAAACGTTCGACTACGGGACTTGTGTTTGTACAAAAAATCTAGGTCAACGTTTGAATGGCTTTATTTTGACAATTTAATGTCGCTATTAGCACAGTTGTGATTAACTGCACATTTAACACATTAAATATAATACATCGAGTAAATATTCTGCTATTAATTCTATCAATAAAATGGTAACAGATAAGCGGCAGAACAAACAAACTTCATTACAACCAGTGGCGGCTCGTCAGGAGAGGCAGGGGAGGCAGTGCCTCCCCTGGGAAAATTGACTATTAGTTTTCGTTTTAATATCTATTAACTTCAAATATATTTTAAAAATATAGCAAATAATTTTTATAGAACACTGTGATTTATTAAAACGCGTCTTGGTAACATATTTTGAAGTACGCGCTTTCGACAGGAATAAGCGCTGATCATCGCCGTGTAGGCCAGCTTCAGACGGAGGCATGCCTCAGATAGACGGATATCTTCAGTATGATTAGTCAGTGGTGCTAATATGTTTTTGAGAAAGACAATAGTCACCAGTGCTTTATCAAAGCGCCAGCGGAGGCACCAACGCCTACCGTCCTTAAGCCAATCAGATCGAATTTTTTAATCTCACGGTGAAACTGCACAATGCTGAACAGGGATGCTGAATGCATTTAGTGCGAATTTATGTAGTTGTGCATTAAGTAGACGCGAGGAAATGTGTTCCCTGCATGTGCTTTGCCAAGGTTATGTATTAAAACTTTTAAGTTAACTTGAAAACAGTAGGACAATGAAAATGTCAGTTTCGCAATGCTGATAGCAACATAAGAATCTCTAATCTCCAGAATATCTTATAAAGTTTAAATATTTAAGCACGGTTGTCTTACGACGAACAATTGTATGTCAAAGATTTAGATTCTCTCATCCAGATTTGAGCAGAACTTTATTAATTAATTAATTTATTTATTTAAATCAGCCCTAGATCATATGAATTAATATTTAATGCTAATAAAGCAAATTCTGTAGTGTCTACACCTTCTCGGTGGTTTGTGTGAAGCAATTAAATGTTTTTTATTCGAGAAGTGTACCCATATAGAGATATGTTACTGACTCAGAGTTATTTGTATTTTGTTTTCATAAAAACGAATAAACAATATGTCTTTTAACAAAAGTAATTGCGAACATTTAACTAATACCTGCTGATTTTGAAACGAAAATGTTGCCTCACCTCACTAAAAGACCACGAGCCGCTACTGATTACAACATGTTTTTATAAAAAATAAACACACCTCAGCTGACTTTTTCCACTCAACAATAGCTTTAATATTAACAGCGCAAAGTATGTAGATAAAAAGCGCACCGTGCTATTCTTTTCCAAGAAAATTAATAACACGTTTGCAACGCCTCATTTTTCATGGAACGTTTATTTACACCACATGTTATTTAATAGCGTCAAAGCGGCATCTGCTTGATTTTATTATGCGATACTGTCCGACTACTTTATCAAACTGTTACGTAACTATCAAAGTATAACATCTTTCACATTTACGCTTGCCGCATTCTCAAAAACTGTTCCACTTTTACTCGTTCAATCAAAATATCAATTACCTCAGATATCCAACAAACAATGACCGACGATAATTGCAAAAACTCAAAGAATAAAGCAAATGTGACAAACTTAGAAACCTCCACCGACAAAAAGCATGAAATTGTGCTAATTATTTATTAGTAAATAAAAACGGCGTGACTTTCTAAACTAAGTTTGTCGTAAAAACGCCAATTAAATACCTTTATTCGATCTCCAGAGCCTTTCCATTCCGTTCCGTTGCAAAGCCATTCTCGATAATTCACAGAAGCTTTCGTGAATGTTGAAGTTGCACAGAGGTGAGACTTCGAAGAACGCCATGCTGTGTCTGTTGGCGTACATCTGAGCATCCCTCTCGCCGACTTTCCTCTTAAAGGCAAAATGTAACCTATTTCCTACTAAAACTTTAGGCACCCCTGGAGCGTGTTCGTCGACTTCTTTCAGCCACCTATCTAAGCCGTCAAAAGACCACCTATTTGTTATATCGTAAACTAGCAAAACACCCTGTGCACCTCTTGAATAGGACCGGATTATGGTACAGAACCGGCCTTGGCCCGAGGTGTCCCATAGCTGCAAGCGGACGCGCTTGCCGTCGAGCAGGATTGTCGTGGTCTTGTATGCTGAAAAGACGAAAAGAAAATTAAAAGCGTGTCGAAATAACAAACCTGAATTCTACAAAAGAAAGTACTTCTATACCTGTGGTTCATGAATCGACCTACACTTTTTAACTTCGAGGTCCACATTTTTGGAAAAGTCCAAATTTGATCATTTAATTCACATTTACTCAATCACAACTACAGAGATATTATATAGAAACTATTATATCTGCCGTCTAATACAGAAATATAATTATAAGTTGTGAAACTTTAACTCGAACAATTTACCTAACTTCCACAATTTTTTTAAACTCGAACTCAGAGTGAACAAAATATTAACTAAATAAATAAATATTTCTTGACACTATAATTGTTTCAATATTGTTATTTAAAGTAAAAGATTCTCATGTCTTTGTTTCCTAATTTATGTATTTTTATCATTTGACTAATGTCTAACTTCATCATCTCAGACGTTTTATAACTCCTAAGGTATGAAATAATAGGTCCCCCTTTTCTGTGTTTTTGCAATTCGATACAGATTGTGAAATTTTTGGTGAATTTTTGGAATATCGTCTAGAATATTGTAAACGATGGAACACTAACCCAAATCTAAGCATCTAAATTTTTGATGAAAAAATTCAAAATTTATAAACATTTAACAATTTAACTTAGAAACTGCAAAACCGAATGCTCCGAAATCTTGCAAACGTTTTAAGATCATCGAAAGCATGGTGAATCGGTACTCAAAATATATCTGTTTATCCCCACCGAAAACTTGGTGACGTCATCTCAAAATTTTGCACAGTAAATTTTGTAAATCCTACATGAATTTTACAAAATAACAGACTTCTATATCTGTGGTTTATGAATCTACCTTACGTTAAAATTTTACTATTTAATTTTTTTATTTTAATCAATCACAGCTACAGAGATATTATATTTTAGAAACTATCTGCCGTCTAATACAGAAATACAGCCATAAACTATGATAATATAAAGCAAATTTTAACTAGAACAATTTACGTAACTTGCACAAAATTTTTAATCTCCTGAATTAGAGTGTTAAAAGAATATTAAATAAATAATAGTTGACAATATAATTGTTTTAATTTTGTTGTTTTTAGGAAAAAATTTGTATCTCTCTGTTTCCTAATTTCTGTGTTTATATTTCCTTTGACGAATGTAATTTCGTGTTCTCTAGACGTTTTATAACTCCTAAGGCACGAAAAAATAGATCTCCGTTTCCGTCTGTTTGAAGTTCGTAGGTGATTTTATTGCCCAAATCATAAAATTTTGGTGTACTTTAGGAATATCGTCTAGACTACCGTAAACGAGAAAATACTAATCAAAATCTATACAACTAGATTTTTTATCGTAAACATGGTAAATCGCTAATCAAAATATGTCTGTTTATCCCTAAACTTCATAAAATAACACACTTCTATATCTGTGGCTTATGAATCCACCTATACTTTTTAACTTAGAAGATCCACATTTTCGGGGAAAAAATGTTAGTAGTATGTAAAGACGACCTGCCATCTAATACAAAAATATAGCTATAAACTGTGATATAAGACAAACTTTAACTAGAACAGTTTACGTAAATTACGCAATTTTATTAATCTGAAAAATATAAATTTATAAACTCCGTTGCCAAGTTGCCCTTGATAGTAACTTTGATGTTCAACTTTTGCCGTATTTAAAGGGGTTGTAGAAGAAAAGTGGAGGATTTAAGTGGATCACTAAAAAAAATTACCATTTTAGACATGTTTTAAGTTTCTTGTTGTCGCACCCACTCCTATCTAAATTGTAAGGTTTTTTTATTCGTCGTTGAGACAAGGGGGCGAAGCTTAACTGCAAAATCCTTATTTCTCTACGAAAGGGGCGGAGCGTAATGGCAAAATCGATATTGCCCTATACAAATTCACCATTTTAAACATGTTTTACGTTTCTTGTTGTGAAACGGTGACTACACATATTAAGAAAAAAAAGGCAAAATGTAAGCCTCGCCCAACCCTACCTCAATTGTGATGATTGTTCTATTAGTCCTGAGCCAAGGGGCGGAGCTTAATTTGCAAAATACTTACTTCTTTATAAGAAATTAAAAACATGTTTTTGAGTATCGTGTTGTTCAAAGAACACTATGTATATTAAGAAAAAAAAAAAAAGGCAAAATACAATTAGGCTCCGCCCCATAATTGCAAAATCCATATTTCCTTGCAAAAATGTACCATTTTAACCATTTTTAAAGTTTCTTGTTGTGAAAAGATGGCTATGTATATTAAGAAAAAAAAGGCAAAATTTAAGCCCCACCCACCCGCCCTATCTCAATTCTGATGATTTTTTTTATTCGTCATGAACAAAGGGGGCGAAGCTTAATTGCAAAATCCATATTTCCTTACAAAAATTTACCATTTTAAACGCGTTTTATGTGTCTAAGAATAAAAAAGTCATCACAATTGAAAAGGGGTGGGTGGGCGGGGTTTATATTTTGCCTTGTTTTCTTAATATACATAGTATTCTTTGAACAACACGATATTCAAAAACATGTTTTTAATTTCATGTAAAGAAATAAATATTTTGCAGTTAAACTCCGCCCCTTGGTGCACGGCGAATTAAAAAAAAATCATCACAATTGAGATAGGGTGGGTGGGCGGGGTTTCCATTTGCCTTTTTGTTTTAATATGTGTCGACTTCTTTTTAGAACATGAAACTTAAAACATGTTTAAAATAGAAAATTTGTATGAGGAAATAGCGATTTAGCAATTAGGCTCCGCCTGATAATGGCAAAATCCATATTTCCTTGCAAAAATGTACCATTTTAACCATGTTTTAAGTTTCTTCTTGTGAAAAGATGACAATGTATATTAAGAAAAAAAAAAGGAAAACATAAGCCCCACTCACCCGCCCTATGTCAATTCTGATGATGTTTTTATTCGTCGTTAGGTAAGGGGGCGGAACTTAATTGGAAAATCCATATTTCCTTACAAAAATTTACCATTTTAAACGCGTTTTGAGTTTCTAAGAATAAAAAAATCATCACAATTGAGAGGGGGTGGGGGGCGGGGCTAATATTTTGCCTTGTTTTCTTTATTTACGTAGTATTCTTTGAACAACACGATACTCAAAAACATGTTTTTAATCTCATGTAAAGAAATAAATATTTTGCAGTTAAGCTCCGCCCCTTGGTTCACGGCGAATTAAAAAAAATCATCACAATTGAGATAGGGCGAGTGGGCGGGGCTTCTATTTTGCGTTTTTGTTTTAATATGTGTACATTTCCTTTTAGAACATGAAACTTAAAACATGTTTAAAATAGGAAATTTGTATAAGGGAATAGCGATTTAGTAATTAGGCTCCGACCCATAATTGCAAAATCCATATTTCCTTGCAAAAAGTACCATTTTAACCATGTTTGAAGTTTCTTGTTGTGGAAAGACGGCTATGTATATTAAAAAAACCAAGGCAAAATATAAGCCCCACCCACCCGCCCTGTCTGAATTCTGATGACTTTTTTATTCGTCGTGAGTCGAGAGAGCGGAGCTTAATTGCAAAATCCATATTTCCTTACAAAAATTTACCATTTTAAACGCGTGTTAAGTTTCTAAGAATAAAGAAATCATCACAATTGAGAGGGGGTGGGTGGGCGTTGTATATATTTAGCCTTGTTTTCTTAATATACATAGTATTCTTTGAACAACACGATACTAAAATCATGTTTTCAATTTCTTGTAAAAATTGGCTCACGGGGAATAAAAAAAATCATCACAATTGAGATAGGGTGGGGGGGGGGCTTCCATTTTGCCTTTTTGTTTTAATGTGTAAATTTTTTTTAGAACATGAAACTTAAAACATGTTTAAAATAGAAAATTTGTATAAGGAAATAGCGATTTAGCAATTAGGCTCCACCCCATAATTGCAAAATCCATATTTCCTTGCAAAAATGTACCATTTTAACCATGTTTGAAGTTTCTTGTTGTGAAAAGATGGCTATGTATATTAAGAAAAAAAAGGCAAAATTTAGGCCCCACCCACCCGCCCTATCTCAATTTTGATGATTTTTCTATACCTCGTGAACCAAGGGGGCGGAATTTAATTGCAAAATCCATATTTCCTTACAAAAATTTACCATTTTAAACGCGTTTTAAATTTCTAAGAATAAAAAAGTTGTCACAATTGAGAAGGGGTGGGTGGGCGGGGTTTATATTTTTTCTTATTTTCTTAATATACATAGTATTCTTTGAACAACACGATACTCAAAAACATGTTTTTAATTTCTTATAAAGAAATAAGTATTTTGCAGTTAAGCTCCGCCCCTTGGTTCACGGCGAATAAAGAAAATCATCACAATTGAGATAGGGCGGGTGGGCGGGGCTACATTTTGCCTTGTTTTCCTAATATGTGTAGACTTTTTCGAAAACAAGAAACTTAAACATGTTTAAAATGGAAAATTTTTATAATGAACTATCGATTTTGCAATTAAGCTCGACCCCATAATTGCAAAATCCATATTTCTTTGCAAAAATGTACCATTTTAACCATGTTTGAAGTTTCTTGTTACGAAAGGATGGCTACGTATATTAATAAAAACGAAGGCAAAATATAAGCCCCACCCACCCGCCTCGTCTCAATTCTGATGACTTTTTTATTCGCCGTGAGCCAAGGGGGCGGAGCTTAATTGCAAACTCCTTATTCCTTTATAAGAAATACAAAAAGTGTTTTTGAGTATTGTGTTGTTCAAAGAATACTAAGTAATACCTGATCATAAAATTTTGGTGTACTTTAGAAATATCGTCTAGACTACTGTAAACGCTAAAATATATGTATACTTAACATTTGATAATTTATCGTAGAAACTGTAAAATTGATGCTCAAGGTTATCATAAGTATTGTAAATGACTAATCAAAATAAATATGTCTATTTATCCCCACCAAAAACATGATAACGTCATCTCAAACTTTTGCACAGTAACTCCTACTTAAAGGTTTACAAAATAACAAACTTGTACACCTGTAGTTTATGAATCCACCTATACTTTATAACTTAAGAGATCCACATTTTTTGGAAAAAAATCTAAATTTTACTATTTAATTTACACTTAGTCAATCACAACTACATATATATTGTATAGAGACTATCTGCGGTCTAACACAGAAACATAGCCATAAACTGGGATGATATAAAGCAAATTTTGACTATATTTTATATTTTATCCCCACCAAAAACTTGATGACGCCATCTTAAACTGTTTTTGGATAAATCGTATGTGCAACCTAGTTATTATGAGTCCAGAGAGCGAAAAAAACACGATCTATGGTGGCCTTGGATTTTTGAACGTCTGTCTTTATTGCATTTTTAATTTAAACTTCCAACTTTCAAATTGACAGTAATCTGACAAGACAAATCGTCAAAAACCCATGGCTGTCTTTGATTCTGTTCTCTCTCGATACAATACATTGTTTTGAAGGTTTTACATTATTTTAAAAAGTTAACAAATAATTAATGTTTCATAGCCAAAGAGGATTATTTTTACAATACACCATAACATCAGTGGTACTTTCGGACAGACAAATTTAGTCCAAACACTGAACAATAAAACATTGAATTTGGGGCTACCATGACTAACCCGAGATGATTTGAAGGCTGCAAATATTTGAAAAATACAGCCGCAATAAATACGTTTCACAATATTTAACACACACAAACAAGAGTAATCAAATTATCCAAGCATTTAAACAAATCTTAAATTCATGATACAAAACTCGGATCAAAATATTCATGGCTCGAACCACCACTCGACTATCAAGTCAGGATTTATAACACATGGTCAAACCACTAATTGAAGGGCAAATTCGAGTTAGACGAATATTTTGTCGAAGTCCCACAACCACCTACGATAACCTAAACCCTCACCGCTTCCACTGCAGAACGGGGACTCGGCGGCTCCGTCGTCGAGCTCTGAGAGGATCTCCTGTTTGCCGACATCGCTGTCGCCGACCAAAAGGAACTTCAGCAGGTAATCGTAGGGTTTTTGGGGCGGCTTTCCGCTATCCTCAGCCATAGCAGTGGTGTCGGTCCGATTTTAACCATAATAGTGAATTTCCGTCCCACGTTAGCAAACTCACATTGGCGTTCTGGTGATTGGGATGATTTACGCGACGGTAAATTTCACGGAGTGTGCGAGTTTCCGCGTCGTTCCACTTAAAAAATGCAAATTCCTTCGCTGTCGTTTATTTTTATTGGACAAGGTCGTTGCTTTGAGTAAATAAACAGATGGCGGATTTGCGGGCTTTTTCGCACCAAAACTCGGCCCCCCGTGGTTTTCGCACTCTCGCCACCGGCCGGATCACCAATTGTGCACTTGTGGCGGTTCGCAAATTGAAAACGAGCGGATTTTTGCTCGAAACAATGGTAGAAAAGGAGGATCGGTTGTCGGAGCTGTCACTTTTTGTAAAACTTTATGGGAGAGGGCAGGAGTGCCAACTGCGGTGTGACACATACGAGACGAATGTCCCTAGGCGGGGACGAACTTTCTTGCTGGAATTCGAATTTTGTGGGCACTTTCTCCGATGGTTTGTCTAATTATTTAATTTAATGCTTGATTAACAATCTCTCGAGAATTATTTGAGTGGAACTGTGACCCTTGCGTGACCGAGAGGTTTCTCTCTTCACCGGGATTTTGCGTTTCGAGTGCAAGGAAAATATTGTCCACCTACTTATAAAAGGAACTTGGTTCTCCTACACTGATGAGTGAATTTCTTTAAATATTTCTCAACATTTATTAAGTCGAAGTGATAAGATAAGGTAAATAAATGAATCGTTTGAAGTCCAATGAAAGTGATGCAGTTGATATTGATTTTATTGTGTTTACTGTTATCCAGCATTAAATATTTGCACTGGAGAAAATTTGTAGATAATGGACGATGACAACACATTTACTGTTTACCTACTTTAAGTTTGGCAATCAAACAAGTGAGCAAAGGAGTGTCCACAGGCTGAAATTATTACAAATTTTATATTAAAAAAAAACAACAATTAAAATAGAATCAACTTGTTTATTTTTATAAAACAATTAGGGATTTTCTTATTACTAGAGTCCGGATTTATATGCATCATTGTTGACCACATGCGCACACAGTAACTGCGCATCAAAATTTAACCGTTAATAATATGAGCAAATTTAAAAACATTACTAATTTTAATACCAGCAACTCTTTCTCAAATACCAGTAAAGTCCACGTACTGGACAAAAATTGGTTGATTAATACATATTCCCTTGACCATCTTTCTGGATTAGGGGTGCTTGTGGTTTAGTTTTTAAACGTTGGATAAACTGTTCTCCAGATACGAACATCAAGTTTTTGCTTCTATCGCTATCGTCAGTGTTTTCATTTGGAGAATTTGAATCAGAATCAGACGATGACGATGACCTAGATAATGATAATAAAAATTCTTCCAGTAAAATAATATGGGAAAATAGGGAACTAAACTTGTCAGAGTTATTATTATGTTAACATTTAATAACGCTGATTTTTAAAATGATTATACTTAAGATTAAGCTCAACTAGTAGGTTTACTCTCCTTTGTTTTCAAATTTTAACCTATTTATGGCTCTCGTAGCAAAGATGGCAATTGAATATTACTTATGATCTTAAACGGAGTAATAAAACAACAAATAAATTAACAAGCTTATCGTACTATCCGATAAAGGAAATCTATCTTTGCCAACGCAGTTTCCACGTGATTGAATTCATAACCTCATTTTTAAAGCCGTTTTTAAACTAAAAAAATTGACGAATTTTCAGATTTTCATTTTCGATTTTAAACTAACTTATAGAACATTAAATAAAAAATGGTGAGCTTGATTAAATTATAGGATTCTTACAGTTGCTCACTGTCGTTTAGGTACTACATATTTGCAAAAATTGCCCGTTAAACTGAAAAATAGATACTTCTTTACGAACTGTTGTCCAAATCTGTGTTGAATCAACAATCCACGAAGATACATCGAGATTAGTAGAGCTAAGATAGGGATATGGGGATACTAGGAGAAAAAAATTGGTCTAAAGAGTTTAGACAGTACTTCCCTCGCTGTCGGAAACTTGACGACTGCATGCCTATTGTGTTTTTTTTCTCATTACATTTTTGTAGTGGGAATTTAAAAAAAAAATTGCGATGACGTCATCAACATTTTTGCAAGGACACGTATATCAGTTGGGATAGATGTAGTGTAATACTAAGAATAAAATTATTATATTCTCAAATTTTCGGGAAAATGAATTGGGTCGTTTGAATATTGATTTGTAATAATCAATAAAATAACGAAACAATTTACTCACGTATACCTACGTATCAGAGGCAACTGAAAATCGTGTATGTATAAACATTCTTAATTTAAGATGACAGGCGTAACAGCATACGTGAGAGCCAAACAGAGAAACTGTAAACAAAACGACCGTCGGTTTTATTGCTTCGACTTCCGCTTATTATATAAAACATTGGGTTTTATTTTAATTCTTGACGGTGAAATTCACAATTGGTTGATTATAAACATGTCTATTTCGCATTCGCGGAACCAAGTGACCGCATAAAACAAATGCAGGTCTGTAATGTTAAAGTCGATGTAAATAAGCGTGCTACTCTTATGTTTCAACCGAGTTTTTCCTTTAACAAATTTTGTGTCTACCAAATTGGGTTGGTTGGGGTGTAATACTAATAATAAGTGTTGCCTTTAATTTAATCAATAAAATAAATTGACTTCATTAATTTTTTTGAACCACCTCTTAAGAAAATCTAAAAAATATGAATGGAATGATAAATCACAAGTACAAACTCATCATATTTTTTGCATTTTAGATAGGATTTATTCAGCAAAATTTAAGGGTGACGTCATCAATTTTTTTAGGAGGGATGAACAAATACATTTTGAACAAAAGTTTACCATGCTTATAATAACTTTAAAATATTCCCAAGATTTCAAAGCATTCGGTTTTGTAATTCCTGATTAAATCGATAAAATAAATTCACGCCTTCATTAATTTTTTTGAGTCACCCTGCATATGCAAATCCAAAAATATGAATGGAATGATAAATCACAAGTACAGACTCATCATATTTTGTACATTTTAGATACGATTTATTCGGCAAACTTTTGAGCTGACGTCATCAGTTTTTTGTAGAAGATAACCAAATATATTTTGACTAAAAATTTATTATGCTCTTTATTATAACCTTACAACATCTGCAAGATTTCAAAGCATTCGGTTTTGTAGTTCCTGATTAAATCAATAAAATAAATTTACGCATTCATTAATTTTTTTGAGTCACCCTGTATATGCAAATCGAAAAAATTTGAATGGAATGATAAATCACAAGAAGAGACTCACCATATTTTGTACATTTTAGATAGGATTTATTCAGCAAAATTTTGTGGTGACATCATAAATTTTTTAGGGGGGACGACCAAATACGTTTTGATCAAAAATTTACCATGCCTATGATAATTTTAAAATATCTTCAAGATTTCGAAGCATTCGGTTTTGTAGTTCCTGAGTAAATCAGTAAAATAAATTTACGCTTTCATTTATTTTCTTGAATCACCCTGTATATGCAAATCCAAAAAATATGAATGGAGTGATAGATCACAAGTACAGACTGATCATATTTTGTACATTTTAGATATGATTTATTCGGCAAATTTTCGAGCTGACGTCATCAAGTTTTTGGAGGGGATAAGCAAATATATTTTGACTAAACATTTATTATGCTCTTTATGACCTTAAAACATCTGCAAGATTTCAGAGCATTCGGTTTTGTAGTTCCTGATTAAATCAATAAAATATATTTACGCATTCATTAATTTTTTTGAGTCACCCTGTATATGCAAATCCAAAAAATATGAATGGAGTGATAGATCACAAGTACAGACTCATCATATTTTGTACATTTTAGATATGATTTATTCCACAAACTTTTGAGCTGACGTCATCAAGTTTTTGGAGGGGATAAGCAAATATTTTTTGACTAAAGATTTATGATGCTCTTTATAGCCTTAAAACATCTGCAAGATTTCAGAGCATTCGGTTGTGTAGTTCCTGATTCAATCAATAAAATATATTTACGCATTCATTAATTTTTTTGAGTCACCCTGTATATGCAAATCCAAAAAATATGAATGGAGTGATAGATCACAAGTAGACTCATCATATTTTGTACATTTTAGATATGATTTATTCCACAAACTTTTGAGCTGACGTCATCAAGTTTTTGGAGGGGATAAGCAAATATTTTTTGACTAAAGATTTATGATGCTCTTTATAGCCTTAAAACATCTGCAACATTTCAAAGCATTCTGGTTAGCAGATTAAAAATTAAATTTCAAAATATTGTTTTATAATTTTGATTTTTTTTCCAAAAATCTGGACGTTTCGGGTGAAAAGTCGATTCAGAGTTGTAAACTACATGTGTAGGACTATGTTATTTTATACAATTGAAAACCCATTTACTATGTACAATTTTGAAGTGACGTCATCGCATGGGGATGATTAGACAAATTTTGGTTAGCGTTTTACCATCTACATGATATTCTTAATATAAGTACAAAATTTCACAACAATCGGTCGAGTACTTTCGGAGATTATCTGTCTAATAAAAATCCGGGACAACAGACGGACAGACGGACGGACAGACGGACGGACAGACGGACAGACAGACAGACGGACAGACAGACAGACGGAAATGGGAGACCTATTTCTTCGTCTTCTAGGGGTCATGAAAGATCGAGAAAACGTAAAAGTAGAGAGTCGGCCGACGGACTCGATTACAATACTTCCTTTGCTTACGCTCGGGAAGTAAAAACAAAAATAACGGTTTTTTTTTTGTTTGATGAATAGGTTCTGTTAAATTTTTGCTCCAAAACCTACTCATTGAAAACTTTTTCAGCGAACTCGGGATAAAAGTTGTTTATAATGTTTATCAAAAAATCATGATCACTGTTGATTTATAAACGAAACATCCTTTTTTCTAAGGGATTTTTCGGATATTTTGCCTTTTTTTTTATAATATTCTTTGAACAACACGATACTCAAAAACATATTTTTAATTTCTTGTAAAGAAATAAATATTTTGCAGTTAAGCTCCGCCCCCTTGGCTCACGACGAATAAAAAATCACAACAATTGAGACAGGGTGGGTGGGCGGGGCTTACATTTTGCATTTTCTGCTTAATATTTGTAGTCATCTTTTCACAAGAAACTTAAAACATGTGTGGGAAATTTGTATAGGCCAATATCAATTTCGCAATTACGCTCCGCCTATCGGTTTCTTTTGCTTTTCTTTCTTAATTAATACATTGAGTTTTCTTTGTATAACACGAATACTTAAGAACATATTTCATATGGTAATTTCTCGTAGAAAAATAAAGATTTTACAAATAAGCTTTGCCCCTCGGCTCACGACGAATACAAAAAATCATCAGAATTGAGATAGGGCGGGTGGGCGGGGTTTATATTTTGCCTTTTTTTTTCTTAATATATATAGCCATCTTTTCACAACGCGAAGTGTAATTGCAAAATTGATGTTTCCTCATACAAATTTTCCATTTTAAATTTGTTTAAAGTTTCTTATTGTGAAAAGAAGACTACACATATTAAAACAAAAAAGATAAATGTAAGTCCACCCACCCGCCCTATCTCAATTGTGACGATCCTTTTTTTATTCGCTGAGAACCAAGGGGGCGGAGCTTAACTGCAAAATACCTATTTCTTTACATGCAATTAAAAAATAGAATACTATGTATATAAAGAAACAAAGCCAATATAAAAATCCCGCCCAACCAACACGTTTAAAATGGTAAATTTGTGTAAGCAAATATGGACTTTGCAATTACGCTCCGCCCATCGGTATGCCAACGAATAAAAACTTCATTACTATATAGATCAGGGCAGGTATGGGTGGGGCTTAATCTTTGGATTTAATTTCTTCTTAATATAATACATAGTATTTTTTTGACTAACACGATACTCAAAAACATGTCTTTGGCTCTCAACGATTAAAAAAATCAACACAACTACATAGGGCGGGTGGGCGGGGCTTATATTTTGCTTTTTTTCTTAACAGACGTAGTCGTCTTTTCCGAAAAAGAACCTTAAAACATCTTTATAATGGTAAATTCTTGTAGACAAATATGGATCTTGCAATTAAGTCCCGCCCCTTGATCTGACAACAAATGAACAATTCATTAAATTGAGAATTGAAATCGGGGCGGGTATGGGTGGGGACTAATCTTCCATATTATCCCGATTTTTTATTAACTCTACTGATAAAAATCTAAATTATTTTTTTTAAGTTGCCTAATTTCCGTACGGTAATCGTTACTTGTAAAAAATGCCCGTTGGATTGAAAAATATATATGAATATATACAGAAAAATTAATATTTGTGGAATTACCATACTGAAAAAAAGGAGGAATGGATGAAAGTCACAATTCTTGTACATTTTTTTCTAATTTGATTCATGCATTCTTTTCAATTTTTGTGCCAAAACCTGGTAATTAATTCCCAGCGCACTTCCGTCTATCCATTCAGGTATTAAAGCGTTAGAAAAAGTTTTCAGAGAACTCGGGATAAAAGTTGTTTATAATCTTTATCAAAAAATCATAATCACTCTTGATTTATACACGAAACATCCTTTTTTTTTTCTTAATATTCTTTGAACAACACGATACTCAAAAACATGTTTTTAATTTCTTGTAAAGAAGTATTTTGCAAGTTAAGCTCCGCCCCCTTGGCTCGCGACGAATAAAAAATCATCACAATTGAGACAGGGTGGGTGGGCGGGGCTTACCTTTTTGGATTTTTTCCTTAATATTTGCAGTCATCTTTTCACAAGAAACTGAAAACATGTTTAAAATGGGAAATTTGTATAGGCCAATACCGATTTTGATTTTCTTTTTTAATTAATACATTGAGTTTTCTTTTAATATACATAGCCATCTTTTCACAACAAGAAACTTAAGACATGTTTCCGTATACAAATTTTCCATTTTAAACTTGTTTTAAGTTTCTTATTGTGAAAAGAAGTCTACACATATTAAAACAAAAAAGAAAAATGTAAGCCCGCCCACCCGCCCTATCTCAATTGTGATGATCCTTTTTTGATTCGCTGAGAACCAAAATACTTATTTTTTTACATGAGATTAAAAACATGGTTTTGAGTATCGTGTTGTTCACAGAATACGATGTATATTAAGAAACAAAGCCAATATAAAAACCCCGCCGACCCACCCCATCTCAATTGTGACGGTTTTTTTATTCTTAGAAACTTAAAACACGTTTAAAATGGTCAACTTTGTAAGCAAATATGGATTTTGCAATTACGCTCCGCCCCTCGGTCTGTCAGCGAATAAAAGCTCCACTACTAGATCAGGGCAGATATGGGTGGGGCTTAATCTTTGGCTTTAATTTCTTCTTAATATACATACTATTTTTTTGAATAACACGATACTCAAAAACATGTCTTTGGCTCTCAACGATTAAAAAATCATCACAATTGAGATAGGGCGGGGCCTATATTTTGCTTTTTTTCTTAACATACGTAGGCGTCTTTTCAGAAAAAGAACCTTAAAACATCTATATAATGGTAAATTCTTGTAGACAAATATGGATCTTGCAATTAAGTCCCGTCCCTCGATCTGACAACGAATGAAAAATTCATCACAATTGAGAATTGAGATCGGGGCGGGTATGGGTGGGGCCTAATCTTCCATATCATCCCGATTTTTTATTAACTTTGCTGATAAATATCTAAATTATTTTTTTATATACCTATTTTTTTTTAAGTTGCCTTATTTCCGTACGGTAATCGTTACATGTAAAAAATGCCCGCTGGATTGAAAAATATATATAGAAAAATTAATATTTGTGGAATTACCATACTGAAAAAAAGGAGGAGTTTTGTGCCAAAACTTGGTAATTAATTCCCAACGCACTCCCGTCTATCCATTCAGGTATTAAAGCGTTAGAAAAAGTTTTCAGACAACTCGGTATAAAAGTTGTTTATGTTTATTTAGTGTTTTCTTTCCTCTAGGATACACTTCTGGACCGATAATATATACAGTGATATACTAGGAGCCTATTAATGACTGAAGGAAATGATTGAGTTGGCAAATTTCGATTTTACAACAGGTATGCCATCATAAAATTTTAAATATGTTGCCAACCAGACAAAAAAAATCATAAACATTAATAATCACTCTTGATTTATAAACGAAACATCATTTTAGATTACAGATTTTTCGGACATTTTAGGCAAATGTTTATGGTTAATTTTCGATTTTACCTCAATTTTAACAATTTTTGATTTTTTCCCGATTTTTTAATTAACTTTCTGAATTCTTAAAATTCATTTTTTTTTAAGTTGCCTAATTTCCGTAGGGTGATTGTTTATTTGACTGCACGATATGATCGAAACCTACTGTAGTAGGCCATGCAATTTATTGTTGAAATAATGATGTTGGCAATACCAACGCGTTCCTTATTCAGCTGTAATACCAACATTATTTTAAAAATAAATTGCACGGCCTACTAGTTTTTTTCAGTAATCTGCAATTTTCGGACCAAAAATGACGCACTAAAATTTTGTACTGAAACGGCCGGTTGCATAAACGCAAATCAAATTTAATCTCTGATTAAGAACAATTGTAACTATGATAATAACAATCGTTACTATGGAGTTAATCAGAGATTAACTTTGATTTGCGTTTATGCAACCGGCCCTTAGAGTTTTGTTATAAATTACCTCAATTATTTCCATACTCGAAAACGTGCCTCTTGAAAGTCGTAGAGAAAAAAAAAAAAAAGTACAAAACACGCAAGAAAATGACTTTTCGTGCTCTTTTGACAATATACATTGCAAAAAATTTACCGAACGGGTTTACAGTTCGCATAACGAACCGTCATCGATAAACATCATGAAAAAAAAGGGTTGGGGTGGGGGGTGGGGGATAAAAACTGTTTCACCAATACAAAATCGTTGGAAAAATTAATCAATCAAAACAAAAATTAAAAAAACCATGAATAAAGGTTACAGAATGAAACAAATCTCTCAAGTTACACCTTTATTTGCAACTCAACCCTGTAAAAAAGATAAATCACTTACACAACGTATTCCAAGCTCTCACCCCTTACCTACCCAACCTTTGAAACCGTTCGAAACCTTGAAAGCCGCAAAATGAGTGCGTGATAGAGCTAACAAAAAGTGGGGGCTGCCTGCTGTTGTTTTCCCATAACCCATTACTTACCGCACCTCTCAATCACCCCTACCCCTGCGTAAAAAATCGCCTAGTCGCTAGACGCAAGTAAAGAACGGCAGCCCCTGGGCAGACTGTGAACGGTGGAAGACACTGGACAGCCCCACCGAGCAACGAGGGCCTGGCTAGGGTCCAGTTCTTTCGAGACACTGCCACCCCCTGCTCACGACCGACTGGTACACTGCCACCACCGCTCTTTCTCTCGATCTCGCTCGTTTCAACAGCTACACAGCATTTTTTCGACTGCTACACAGCACCACTCCGCCTGCTGTTCACATAAAACACGTTAGTTATTGCATGAAGACTGGGGATTCGTCGTGGACGGCTCCACGCCGCCTTGTCAACCCTCACACTACACCAAGACTGAGGTTCGAGTTAATAAAGCGGCTGGAAGCGTTTCGTGACGTTATTTCTTACAAGTAAAACAAGCCATGACTGGTTTTGTAAGTAAATTTATAGGGGAAATCGATTACAAACAACCAAAAACTTAAACTCTAGAAATCAAACCGTACATGTTAACGAATCATGAAAGGAAAAAAATGAAAAAATAAAAACTAAAATAACATTCAAAATGATCGGGCGAAATTGACTTCGTCAAAATTAGTACATAATTGTTCCTTCAAAAACATATTAAATCAAAGAAACTTTCAGTGCTAAGGTCTGAGGTGATTTTTTTTGTTTAAATATCTAGGGTAAATACCTTTCAAGAGAGCAATGCCTGTAACAGCTTTCACGATCACTCTGCTACAGCTCTGCTACCTGAAAAAAAAAAGAAAGATAAAATAAGTACAATTGTTATAAAATATTAGTAACTATTATTTCAATTTTACAAAAAAAAAATAATCTTTCATATGTTGGTTATGAATCCGTGTTTTTGGATTTTTGGAAAAAAAAAAATCAAAATTGTATAACAACATTTTGCGATTTACCTATGAAACTGCAAAACCGAATGCTCTGAAATCTTGCAAACTTTTTAAGGTCATTGTAATCATGGTAAAACGTTAATCAAAATTTATTCGTTTATCCCCTTCCAAAAATCTCATGACGTCATTTCAAAATTTTGCCGAATAAATCTTCTCTGAAATATGCAAAATATTATAACTACAATTGTGATTTATCATAGACTTTAGAATTGCTTTCCCAGGTTATTCAAAAAAAAATAATAATAATAAAAAAATAAAAATAAATACATAAATAAATAAATGAGACAAAAATGATGACGCTTCTTTATATACTACTTTAATATTACATACATATCTTTATTTTAAGTTATAAAAGTTATCATAAAAAAATATAATTCGCAAAATCAAATCTTGTAATTTTTACGAAAATCTGGATTTATTTTCCTTCGATCTTTGATTTTTCAATTTTTAAATTTTATAATTTTTGGATTTATCAATTATCCGATTTTCGGATTTCTTTTTTTTTAAACTTTCGAATTTTCAGTTCTTAATTTCTCTACTTTTCGTTCTTCAATTTTTCATTTTTTGATTTTTTTGTTTCTCAATTTTTAATTTCTCGATTTTTCAATTTACATTAGCTCTATTTTATATTAGTTTTTCTTTTATTAATTTCCTTTATTTTTGTTTCGTTCGATTTTATAATTTTTAAATGTTCAATTTTACTATTTTTGGATTTTTCAAGTTTTTGATTTCCACTTTTCAGAATCGCCAAATTTTTCGTTTTTTCAACTATTTTTTTTTTTCAATTTTTCAATTTCTTGATTTTTAATCATCATTTTCCCGATTTATTAATTTTCATTTTCTCTATTTTGTACCACAACTTTTCGTTTTTCATTTCCTTTACTATTGTTTCTTTCGATTTTATAATTTTTCGTTCATTCAATTTTTCATCTTTACGACTTTTAGGTTTCTCAATTATCTTATTTTCCTATTTCCTTTTTTTTTCGATTTTTCAATTTTTCAAGTTTCCAGTTTCTTAGTTCTATCAAATTTTTCGTTTTTTCAACTTTCATGCTTTTCAATTTTTCAATTTCTCAATTTGGTTCCTCAATTCAACATTTTCCCGATTTTTAATTTTCATTTTCTCTATTTTCGATCACAATTTTTCGTTTTTTCATTCCCTTTACTTTTGTTTTTTTCGATTTTATAATTTTTCGTTCATTCAATCTTCGAGTTTTCAATTTTACAATTTTAAACTTCTCAACTTTAAATTTTTCAATTTTTTGTTCTTCAATTTTTCCATTTGCAGTTTTTCAACATTAAAATTTGTCATTTTTCGGTTTTTCTATTTCTCAATTTTTAATTTTTCGATTTTTCAATTCTCGTTTTCTCGATTTTATGACAATTTTTCGTTTATGTATTCAATTTTTCAATCTCCGGTTTTTTAATTTTTAAATTTTCAATTTTACAATATTTGGATTAATCAATTATCCAATTTCCTTTTTTTTTTAAATCTTTCGATTTTCAAAGTTCTTGATTTCCAGTTTATAATTTGTCAAATTTTTCATTTTTTCAACTTCATTTTTTTCAATTTCTCGACTTCGAAATTTTTCAATTTCTTGATTTTTAGTAATCATTTTCCCGATTTTTAAATTTTCATTGTCTCTATTTTGTATCGCAATTTTTCGATTTTTTTCATTTCCTTTACTGTTGTTTCTTCGATTTTATAATTTTTCGTTCATTCAATTTTTCAATTATCATATTTTCCTATTTCTTTTTTTTGATCTTTCGATTTTTCTTTTTTTAATTTTCATTTTCTTTATTTAATGATAATTTTTCGTTTATTCAATTTTTCAAATTTTCAATCTTTGATCTTTCAGTTTTACAATTTTTGGATTTCTCAATTATCTGATTTCTTTTTTTAATCTTTTGATTTTTCAAGTTCTTGATTTTGAATTTTTAGATTTGTCAAAGTTTTCATTTGTTCAATTTTTTAATTTCTGTTTCTCAATTTTTAATTTTTCGGTTCCTCAATTCAACATTTTCCCGATTTTTAATTTTCATTTTCTCTATTTTATATCTCAATTTTTCGTTTTTTCATTTCCTTTACTTTTGTTTCTTTCGCTTTTGTAATTTTTCGTTCATTCAATCTTTGATTTTTCAATTTTTAATTTCTCAACTTTAAATTACTCAATTTCTCAATTTTTAATTTTTCAATTCTCGCTTTCTCGATTTTATGACAATTTTTCGTTTATGTATTCAATTTTTCAATCTCTGGCCTTTTAACTTTGAAATTTTCAATTTTACAATTTTTGGATTATTCAATTTTCAACTTCTTGATTTCCAATTTTTAATTTGTCAAATTTTTCATTTTTTCAACTTCATTTTTTTTCAATTTCTTGATTTTTAGTAATCATTTTCCCGATTTTTAAATTTTCATTGTCTTTATTCTGTATCGCAATTTTTCGATTTTTTTCATTTCCTTTACTGTTGTTTCTTCGATTTTATAATTTTTCGTTCATTCAATTTTTCAATTATCATATTTTTCTATTTCTTTTTTTTTGATGTTTCGATTTTTCTTTTTTTTTTAATTTTCATTTTCTTTATTTAATGATAATTTTTCGTTTATTCAATTTTTCAATCTTTGATCTTTCAGTTTTACAATTTTTGGATTTCTCAATTATCTAATTTCTTTTTTTAATCTTTTGATTTTTCAAGTTCTTGATTTTGAATTTTTAGATTTGTCAAAGTTTTCATTTGTTCAATTTTTAGTTTTTGTTTCTCAATTTTTAATTTTTCAGTTCCTCAATTCAACATTTTCCCGATTTTTAATTTTCATTTTCTCCATTTTATATCACAATTTTTCGTTTTTTCATTTCCTTTACTTTTGTTTCTTTCGATTTTATAATTTGTCGTTCATTCAATCTTTGATTTTTCAATTTTTAATTTCTCAACTATAAATTTTTCAATTTGCAGTTTTTAAGATCACCATTTTTCAAGTTTTGGATATTTCTATTTCTCAATGTTTAATTTTTCATTTACTTTATTTTTGTTTTCTTTCATCATTTTTCGTTTATTCAATTTTTCAATTTTCAATCTTTGATTTTTCAATTTTTGGATTTCTTAAATTTTTGATTTCCAATTTTTGTATTTCTCGTTTTCCCGATTTTTTAATTTTTTATTGTCAATTTCTTTATTTTATATCACAATTTTTCGTTTTTTCATTTTCTTTGTATTTGTTTATTTCGATTTTATAATTTTTCGTTCATTCAACTTTTCAATCTTTGATTTTCCAATTTCTCGACTTTCGAATATTTTGTTTTTTCGATTTTGCACTTTTCAGATTTCAAAGTTTCCCAATTTTTAATGCTTTTTCATTTTTTCATTTTTGATTTTTCAATTTAACAGTTTTACAATTTTTCATTTTTTTTTTATTCTAAAAGTGGAAAAATCGTAAAATTGAAAAATCGAAAAACCAAAAAATCAGAAAAAATTGAAACAGAAAGAATGAAAAAATAAGAAATTAGAAAATCGAAAATGTGGACAATCGAAAAATTGCAAATCGTAGAACCAAAGCTGGACAAAACTGAAACATTGAAAAACGAAAAATTGAGAAACTTCAATCTCAAAAAAAAAATTAATGAATCAAAAAAATGGAAAGAAGAAAAAACGAATCGAACGGAAAAATTGGAAAACCCAAAGATTGAATAATCAAACAATTACAGGATCGTTAAAATTGGAAAGTCTAAAAACCGTAAGATTGAAAAATAGAAAAATTAAATATCAAGAAATTCAAAAATTAAAAATCGAAAAATTGAATAAATAAAAAAAATTTAAAAACCAATCATGGAAAAATAGATATATTTTAAAATCCTAAAATATATATAAGTGAAATATTAAAAAAATTATAACCATTTTTACATATTTAAAAACCGCAAATCAAGAATTGAAGAAACAAAAAATTGGAAAATCGAAAAAATGAAACAAACGGAAAATTACAAAATCTAGAAGTTGAAAAACAGAAAAATTGGAAAACTAAAGAACCGGAACGAATAATTAAAAAATCTAAAAATTGAAATATACAAAAGCTGGAAAATCGAAAAACTGAAAAATTTCAAAATGAAAACTCGAAGAGTTACGAGTACACATCGTGAAATTGAACAAAAAAAAAAAAACCCACGAAAATTGAAAAATTGTAAAAATAAAGACAACAAAAAAACGAATCGAAAAGTTGCAAATCAAAGAAATGAAACATTAAAGAATCCAAAAAAATACATTAAAAATTAAAAACTTGAAAACACGAAAAATTAAACAAAAACAAATGTTTTAAATGAAGAATTTAAAATTCCAAGTCAATTTAGAAATGTTCTATTACAAAGACCAGAAATTTTGAAAATTTAAAATATATACAAATTAATCAAATAAGTTTATTTTTTATAAATTTCTTTAATGAATAATATTACCAGTTCAATGCTAACAACGGCAGTATAAAATATGAAAGTTTACCATTAAACATATCACCACAATTATTTGTTTTAAAATCTGTATTCAAAATTTTCAGGTTATGTTGTTGAAGTGTTCGTTGTCGTCCGATTAGTTCAAATTTAAATCCAAAGATGGCGCTACCGCAAATTTTGACATGGCCAACTCAATTAATCTTTAAAGAGATATCTCTATCGAGATTAAAGGAGTCGGCCATGTTTTAAAATTGTTGAGAAGAATTGAGAATTTTAAGGGAACCTTGACGCTATTAAATAACAAATACTTGCTAATTTACGAAAAACCAAACATTTTTTAACTGAAAAAAATTATAAAAAAGTTGCAATTTTTAAATTGTCTAAAAATCTACGTTGAACGTTTGTCATTTCATTTTCTCATAAAACCAGTAATAAAGGTTTCAATGACCCCAGGTGCGTGCTCATGCTCACAATAATAAACGCCTCATTTATTGCAAATGGCAATGTTTGCATTATCAAATAACCAGAAGCGAAAGTGAAAGTAGCAATAAAATTCCGTGGACTACAGCATAATCAGAACATAACCTACCCACAACTTAATTACCAAAAATTCAAACCCGTGTTTAGAAATCCAGCCACCCATCGATCCCAAACCACACCACACAATCAATAAAACCCGTATTTATTTTATCCACTAATGCTCCCTCCAAGGCCACCCCATCACCCCTGCCACCTACCTAAGACCTCGACCTAGAGCGCGACTTGCTGTTGGATTTTGATTTCGACTTGGACCTCCTCCCATCGGACTTGGAAGCCGACCTCGATCTCCCCCTTGAGCTCTTGCTGTCGGAGCGGGAACGTGAGCGGCTGCGGGAACGGTTCTTCGATCGCGACCTGCTCCTCCTTCCGCGTGACCTCGAACGTGACCGCGAGTACCTAGACCGAGAACGTGATCTAGAACGTGACCCATATAACACTCCCTGCAGGTTTCTCCCCGCATTTACCTTCTTCTGCCGCGGTATCTGCGGTGTGGCGACGTCGGTCGGCCGTACCTGGCCATCTGCACCCGCAGCTCTCTGCCGTCGAGCATCCGTCCGTCCATGGCGTCGAGCGCGTCTTCGGCGTCCCGCTTGTCGTAGAACCTGGAACCGGAAGCTGGAGAGAGTCCCAGGGGGCGGAGTACGTACCTGACGAAGGCGAAGCCTCGGCTCTCGCGGGTGAAGCGGTCCCTGGGGATGTAGATATCGCCGACGTCTCCACACCGCTCGAAGACCCGCCTGAGGTCCTCGGGGGTGGTGCGATATGTTAGATTGTCTACTTTTAGTGAAACCATGCCGTCGATGCGTGGGGGTGGGCGGCCGTAACTCATTTTAACGAAACTAATTCAAATGGGGTAAATTAGTGTCTGTTTTAAACGAAATTAAGATTCACCACACTGCACCAGACGTGAAGGGAAAACAATATGGCGGGGCGGCGTTGCCACGACGGCTGAGGTGGAGGGGACAATCTTGAAGAAGGGGGGAGGGTTTTTTTAAATTAAATTAATAAAACGTGTACAAGTTGGTGCCGTCGATGGAATTTCAGATTTTTCATTTGTGGAAAATTTGTGTATCAATGGTGGTGCATGCCAACGAAATGTGGCAACGTGGCTGCAACAGCCTACCAGACTTTTACAACCTTGATTGTGTATTGCTGGTTGCGCACTTCCAATTATCGTTTTTTAAAAATTAATAATATCTTTAAAGTCGACATTTGTAACAAAAATCGCAACAAAACTTTATAACTCCATTGAAATTGTTATTGAAAATTACTGTGTAATTATTTCGTAAAAAATTAACTACAAATGAATTTCTACTACCACCTTTATAACATTAAATTCCCTTACGCTTTTGTTAGTCACTTGTAGGGGAAGGTGGAACAAACTGAATCACACACAATTTTAACCAACTTCATAACTGAAACACTAATAAAAAAATTTATTACTTGTACATGAATCTTAAATTAATCACAATAGAAAATATAAATAAATATAAAAGAATAAAAACTAACAATGCAGTAAATGAACTAAGGTACTTTTTTGAGCTTAACTTTAATCAGTTCTTGTTTGTACTAATCCACACCGAATTCGTTCCTAATCCAAGGAAACACCTTCGGGCACTGGAAACAAGTATACAAATACCTGTCCTGGTTGAAAATCCTGGAGTGAACTTTACACATATTCGGCACAGCGCAGGCAACTTCACTCTGATCAAAAACGTTATCGCAATTCCATGCTTTAAACGAATTTAGTCGACCAATGGGAGTTGGGTCCTTCATCCAACTAATGGCCTGCCAGCTGGTCACAAACCACACGTCCGGTTGTTGCGAAACTTCCGCTATAAAGTCCTACCACAAAAATTTAGCCACCTTTTGAACAAATTTAGATTCCCTACCTGAAAAGCGTCCAAATACTCTTGTTTCTTAAACCACGAAGAATGAAAATGTAGCCCAAACGGAGCCCGATTCGTGAGATAATGTCGCTTGAAATTGTGAATCAAAATCCTGTAAATGTCATCACCGGAAAGGTTACTGGGACAAGAGTCCACCATCGCGCACGAATAACCATCAGCTTCAAGTTGATTTAGTACCATTTCCCAAACCGCTGGGTATGACCTCGTTGGACAATTTTGTTTGAAACTGGTACACTCGTGGGGAATTTTGTGGTCCAAAGTGTATGGCCACAATGGCGGGTTTGAGAATGGGGCCACAATGGAATTGTCGTACACAAAACCAAACTCTTTCATCATTAAAAATTGGCGATTCCACCCAACTTGTAGAAATGGGACTCTTAACCCTTTTATGTCACTTAGACGGACTTTGGAAAACTTGTTGATAATGTTAGCTTGACCTACCATTTCGTCAAACCATTCCTCTATGGTGGCATTATGGGACCACCATTCCTCCGGAGCGCGATGTCTGTAAAAAAAAGGGTCAAACAATTTCTTCGTTTTTTTGATTTTGGAAAAGTACGTTATAGAGTGGACAGCAATTTCGTGCCCTTGGTTCCACAACTTCTGGGTATGGTAGTAATTATTGAGTCCATGATTCACAAAGAAAGTCGCCCTAATAGAACACCCGTTGGGGTTCTTCCAGTGGTTGAACAACATCGTATCAAACAACTCCCAATTATCACTATTGATAGCACCATCAAAAGTCAAAGTTATCATCTGTGGAGTCTCAGAAGGGAGCAAATTTCCCGGAATTTGGGTACCATCAGACGAACAAAAACAATTTGGTAGCACACAGGTTGACTGATTGCATGGTAACGCCGGATTTGGGTCATGATTCGGGTCACAGTGACGTTCGTCACTACCATCTATACAGTCTACAGAACCATCACAAAAGTAATATTGCGGAAGACAGGTGCCATCTCTGCATGGTTGTTGGTTTTTGGAACATTTGGGTTTATTGAGTGAGCTTGCAGGGGTGATGGTTTCTGCAATTCTGGATAAATATTTTGCGACTTTGTTGAGTAGGTGGTACCTGAAGTTATGTCACAATTGTCCACGTTGAGTTTGAAGTCGCAGATTTGCCTGTGGACGTCGAACAGAAGCCCTGTGGAGCACCTGAAGTCGAAAACTTCTCCTTCTAGACACAGGAAGTACTTGGAACATTCGGTGGAGGTCCAGATTTTGTGTGGGGGGCGGTCTGGGTCGCGGTAAAAGCGGCCGTTTTCGAGGCATTTGACTTGTTGGCTGGTGGTTGTAGCTGTTGCGTTGAATTTAAGTAAATATTGTGTTATGGAGTGTAAAATACGAAAATGCAAGTTTCCCGTCTAACTGATAATTTTCTAAGCTAGTGAACCGGTGACTGCGCGATATTGGTACAACACTAACTAATTTTTTCCAGTTCATCGCGTCCAAAAAATGAGCACAAAGCCTGAAAACTGGTACATAAATGAAGCTTTCGTTCATTAGTGAGGTACCAGTTTATTATTTGGCAGTTCCGGTAATTACATAATTTAGACATAATTTAGGTACCGAAAAAGAGCAAATTATAGCCTACTTTAGAAGTTGTGGTCTAGAGAATACTTTTATTAGAAAATCGACAGGTCGTGACAGGTTTCGACTAAGTGTAGCTATTTATTAGGTGCATTATCCGTGAAAATGTAATTTATGTTAATGGTTGTACAAATTTGCATATAGTTTGCTCAATTTAAGTCGATAATGAAAATTTAATGTTTTCTCGAAACTCTCTTAGTTTCGAGTTACAGTTAACATTAGTCACGGTATTCCCATGATTTCATTTTAGCATAAAATCGTTGAGTGTAAATAAAGTTACCTAGGTTAGTTTTGCATATTTTATTACTTTTATGGAAGAATTAATATGGCTAAGTCTGGAATTGTAGTCGACTTGTAGAATTGTATACCTTTTATGTGTTTTCTCAATGAAAAACTTTTATAGAGTTTTCATTTTTAAATAGTGATCGTTATGAAGTGACATCAAATTAGTGACATTTCAAATTATAGTGCTAAATTTAGAGATAAATCTCGCAATAGTATATTATTATACTAGTTTAATAAGACGTCTTATTGTGGCACGCATGGGTTTGGGGCACGACGAGCGCAGCGAGGAGTGTTCCAAAGGAATAAGTGCCACAATGCGTCTTATTAAACGAGTATAATATACTATTTTTTCTACTTTGCATCTGATCGAAAACAAAAATTAATAAAAATTCAAGGTTATAATTTAGGGCCTTTTAATTCGAAAGGTTAGTTGTAGCGTTGTGGCTAACTTCACAATGTCAAAGTTTGACATCTAACCACCGAACACTAACAATCTAACTTAAGTTTGCCTCAAAAAATGGAAGAAGGGGGCCCCACTTCTTGCACGCCACCTGAAATACAGTTTAAAAATTGATCCCATTATTAAACTGGTTTCGGTTTAATAATGAGGCCATTGTTAACGCAAAGTAGAAAAAGTATTTTTTGTTATAATATGCTCAATTTACAAATAAATATATCGTAACAAATACGGTAATATACTCACTGTTCATTATTTAAGAACCGTAACTATATCAACAAATTTATGTGATGTCTGCTGCATAATTTTAAAAAAATAATTTTTGTCACAACACGTTTGTGTTTTATAAGAAATTTCATAATAGTTTTTATTTTCAATGTAACACAATACGAATGAAAAAATAAGATCAACGGAGGCTATTAAAAATGATAAAATTGTGAATTTTAAGTATCAGTATTATACCGAGAGAGACGATCAAAGATAATTATGGATTTTGGGAAGTTTATCTTTGATCGTTTTATTTTCAGCTTAAATTTTCAAATTAACGGTAATCTGACAAGATGAAAATTCTTTCAAAGACAGTAAGTAATAAGTACATACATATATAAATTAAAGAATGTTTGGGGTTTCTTACGTTTTATTTTTTAACGAATGTAAAAGAGTGGGATTCCCGGTGTTTTTTAAATAATTTAAAAGAATCTTGAGGTTCCTTGGTGCTTTGAATAAATCTTGAAAATCTGGTGTTATAATATGAAATAAACTTGGGGCTCACAGGTGCTTTTTATTCTTAAAAGAATTTGAAAGAAAACCTTGGGGGCTCCTGGTGTAGTTTTTGCAAGAGTTTAAGCATCTTGGAGTCCTCTGGTGTTCTATTTTTGACAGAATTTTCGAATGGTTGGTGTTATTATTCCTGAAGGAACTTGAAAAATCTTGGGAATCTTGGTGTTTTATTTTTGAAAGAATTTGAAACAACCTTGGTGTTTAGTGGTGTTTTTTATTCTTGAACGAATTTTTGTTTCTGAAACAATTTGAAAGAATTTTAGGGATTCTTAGTGTCTTTTTTTAATGTGAAATAATCTTGGGGTCTCCTGGTATTTTTTGTTTTTGAAGGACTTGGAAAAAATATTGAGGCTCCTATTTTTGAAAGAATTTTGGGGTCCTCTGGTGTTTCTATTTTTGAAGGAACTTAACAAAATCTTAAAATCCGTTGATTTTTTATTCTTGAGGAAATTTTGGAAAAAATCTTGAGAATCATTGGTGTTACTTTTGGAAAATTTTTAAATAATCTTGGGGTTCACTATTGTTTTTTATTCTTGAAGTAATTTGAAAGAACCTTGGAAACCCCCGATGGTTTGTTTTTGAAAAAAATTGAAAAAAATCTTAGGAGCTCTCAGTATCTTTGTTTTAAAGAAGGTAAAAGAATTTTGGGATCCCCTGAAACTTTTGTTTTTGAAGGAATTTGAAAAAATCTTAAGACCCCTTAAATTTCTGTTTTTGAAAGAATCTTGGGGTACCCTGGTGTTTTTGTTTTTAAAATAACTTGAAAAACATTTTTAAATCGGTTAGTTTTTTATTCTTGAAGGAATTTGAAAAAACTTTAATATCGGCTTATTTTTTATTCTTGAAGGTATTTGAAAGAATCTTGAAAATCTCTCGTGTTTTATTTTTGAAAGAATTTGAAATAACCTTGGGGTTCACTAGTGTTTTTTGTTCTTGAAGGAATTTGGAAGAACCTTCGGTGTCCCCGATGGTTTGGTTTTGAAAGATTTTGAAAAAAATCTTACGAGTTGTCAGTGGCTTTGTTGTAAAGCATGTAAAAGAATCTTGAGGTCCCCTGGTGTTTTTGTTCTTAAAGTAAGTTGAAAAAAATATTTACAACCGTTGGTTTTTTTATTCTTGAAGTAATTCGAAAAAATCTTGGGGGCCCTGGGGGTTTTTTGTTTTTGAAGGAATTTAAAAGAATCTTGAAAATCTCTGATGTTTTATTTTTCAAAAAAATTTGAAATAACCTTGGGGTTCACTGGTGTTTTTTGTTTTTGAAGGAATTTGAAAACCTTGGGAGCCCCGGGTGCTTTATTTTTTACAGAATTTAAGAATCTTGGAGTCTCCTGATATTTTTGTGTTCTTGAACAGTTTGAAAGAATCTTGAAAATCTCGGGTTTTATTTTTGAAATAATTTGAAATAAACCTGAGGGCCTCTAGTGCTTTATTTTTGAAAGAATTTAAAAATCTTGGGGCCCCGTTGTGTTTTTTGTTCTTGAAGGAATTTGAAAAAATCTTGAGAACTTCTGGCGTTATTTTTGAAAGAATTGGTAACAACCTTGGTGTTCACTGGTGTTTTTTTTATTCTTGAACGAATTTGAAAAAACCTTGGAAACTCCCGATGGTTTGTTTTTGAAAAAAATTGAAAAAAGTCTTAGGGATTCTCAGTGTCTTGTTTTCTTGGTGTTTTCGTTCTTAAAGTAACTTGAAAAAAACTTTTAAATCCGTTGGTTATTTATTCTTGAAGGAATTTGAAAGAGTCTTGAAAATCTCTGGTGTTTTATTTTTGAAAGAATTTAAGAATCTTGGGACCCCGTAGTGTTTTTAGTTCTTGAAGGAATTTGCAAAAATCTTGAGAATCTCCGGTGTTATTTTTGAAATAATTTGCAACAACCTTGGTGTTCACTGGTATTTTTCATTCTTGAAAGAATATGAAAAAATTTTAGGGCTCCTGGTGGTTTGTTTTTGAAAAAGTTTGAAAGAATTTTAGGCGTTCTTAGTGTCTTTTTTTAAAGAATGTAAAAGACTTTAACAAAATCTTGAGCCCCCTGATATTCTACTTTTGAAAGAATCTTGGAGTCCCTTGGTATTTCTAGACGGAACTTGAAAACATTTTTAAATCCACTGATTTTTTATTCTTGGGGAAATTAGAAAAAATCTTGATAATCGTGTTGGTGTTATTTTTGAAAGAATTCGAAAACATCTTGGAGGCTTCTTAGTGTCTTTCTTTTAAGAATTGTGAAAGAATCTTGGGGTCCCCTGGAATGTTTGTTCTTGAAGGAATTTGAAAAAATCTTGAGGCCTCTTGCTATTTTATTTTTGAAAGAATCTTGGGGTCTCTTAGTGTTTTTGGTGTTAAAATAACTTGAAAAAAATCTTTAAATCCGTTGGTTTTTTATTCTTGAAGGAATTTGAAAAAATCTTGAGGGACCCTGATAGGTTTTTTATTCTTGAAAGAATTTGAAAGAATTTTGAAAATCTCTGGTGTTTTATTTTTTTAAGAATTTGAAATAAGCTTGAAGGCCCCTGGTGTTTTAGTTTTGAAAGAATATATGAATCGTGGGGCCCTGTAGTGTTTTTTGTTCTTGAAAGACTTTGAAAGAATCTTGAGAATCTCTGATGTTTTATTTGTAAAAGAATTTGAGATAACATTTAGGGCTCACTGGTGTTTTTTATTCTTGAAGGAATTTGAAAGAACATCTTGGGAGCACCTGGTGCTTTATTTTTGAAAGAGTTTAAGCAACTTGGGGTCCCATGGTGTTTCTATTTTAGAAATAACTTGAAAAAATCTTAAAATCCGCTGATATTCTTGAAGGAATTTGAAAGAAAACTTGAAATTCTTTGGTATTATTGTTGAAAGAATTTGAAATTACCTTGGTGTTCATTAGTAGTTTTATTCTTGAAGGAATTTGAAAAAATCTTCAGGGCCCTTGATGGTTTTTTTATTCTTGAAGGAATTTGAAAGAATTTTGAAAATCTCTGGTGTTTTATTTTTTAAAGAATTTAAGAATCTTGGGATCGCCTAGTGTTTTTTTTTTGTTCTTGAAAAAATTTGAAAGAATCTTGAAAATCTCTGGTGTTGTATTTTTGAAATAAGTTGAAATATCCTTGAGGGCTCCTGGTGTTTTATTTTTGAAAGAATTTAAGAATCGTGGGACCCTGCAGTGTTTTTTATTCTCGAAGCAGTTTGAAAGAATGTTGAAAATCTCTGGTGTTTTATTTTTGAAAGAGTTTGAAACAATCATAGGGGCCCCTAGTATTTTTTTTTATACAAACAAATCTTGGGACTTATGATTTATCTTTGAAAACATCTGAAACAATCATTGAGACCTTTGGCATGTTCTAATTTTATGTAAAAAAAATAACTGAAATATTCATAATAAATTTTTGCGACGTCATCAGTTTTTTGAACAGGGTGGATAAACAAATTTTGATAACCTTGACGTATACCTCAAATTCCAAATTCTGCAGTTGTGTATTTTAGACACTTGACGACAGAGAAAAAATTGGTTTGAAGTTATTTACACGGAACATCCCTCGCCTCTGAAGCACAAGTGAACAAACGGCTTCTTCGAAAAATTATAAAATTAAATTTGGCGAATTTAATTTTTTTATGATAATCCCTAAAACTAAAAAATTATATAGATAAACAAGTCACGGCGATATTTCACAAAAAATATTTGTGAAGTTTGAAAATTATTATTATTATTTTGGACTAATCTATACCAAATTAAAAATAAGGTTGAACTGCTCGATGATGCAAACTGAATTTTAAAATAAAACTTAATCAACAACGCTCAAGATGACGTTATCGTTGTTTCTAAGGAAGTGAAGACAACTTTTGGCGATTTTTTACAATCGTCACGAGAATCACGAAGCATACCAAAAATTTAAAGTAAGTAGTTTCGGAGATTGTATCTAATAAAATCACCAACGGACTACATAATTGGTTACATAAAGACTGCGTTACAGCAGAGTTTGGAATCTCTTCTAAAAAGTAACAAAAAACTCCCTTCGCTTGTACTAATCAAAATCACACGAACCACTTTTTTAAATTAAGTTGTCATTAATTTTTCGATTGAGAAGAAATTCAGAGTAAGCTCAAAATACAGGGTGATCATTTAAATTAAGATGGCGTCACGACCAAGGCAAAGCAGACGACCTTTTCTTTTGCCCAAAAGGAGTGGCGTCGTACCTCGTTTCCATTATAAGTTCATGTTACGTTGATAGAATTTAATATTACAGTTTTGAGTTAATGCGGAAGTAGCGACATCCGCTTTTGTTTTCCTATATTATTCGACGTTAAATTTAAATGATCACCCGGATTTCCAACAGACGACGCGCGAAAATACGAAAACCGATTTTTATGGCCTTCAAGAAAGGTCAGTCTTAGCTGCGTTGCTAACAAATTAATTCAATAATTAATTAAACCAGATCTAGTTAATTTAGTTTATAAAAAACTACGTTAGACGCCCATGCAAGCCGATTTCTCTCATTTATCCTTTTTATTTTTGTAATACAAAATTTACGTCTTCAGTGACCTTTAAAAACTGAACTCACTAATCGGTCTACAATTTAATGGATAAAAAAAGAGCAGCAATTTATTATAGGATTAATCTCGCTTCCACTCAAACCAGAAACGGAACTCGTCTTGCGAATTTATAAATCATCTCCACATTTTTAACAAAATGTAAACGCGGATAAAGTGAAGGTGATATAATTCTAAGATTAATTAAAAAAATATGTAAATCAGATATTATTTAAGTCGTCAATCATCTGAGAGAGTGTCGGTGAAAGAAAAAATCACTGTTGCAGCTTGCATCACATTCACTTTTATCAACTATTCATTTCCATTTCGTTTTACTTTACACATCGCATACATACAATTACAATACATCCATCATAAAACCACAACAACTGGGCTTGGCAGGTGAAATTCAGCCTTGGCATTGCATGACTTTTGATGAACATTTATTACCCGCGCGAACAAAAACTCATAATTGACCCGAATGAGCGCTCCAGAAACCCACAAACAACCAAAACCAAAACCATGCAACCGTTTTTGTTGTTATAAACCGTGACCGGTTCAAAAGCCGCGTAAACCGCGTTACCGGTGTTTTTGGCGGTAAGTTTGAATCAGACGTATACGTACCCACGTGCGTTAAAAAATACAGGGTGGCGGCGAAAAATGCGGAGTGTGCGGACTGCAGGAAGGCCATCACTACACTGTTAAGTGTCTACCGCGAAGACTGCAAACCACGTGTCTTCCTGCGGCTCTTCGCAACTTTCTCGCCTTTATGGTAATAACAAGCAGCGGCATGTGTGGGGAAATGTGTCAGTGCGACGTACGTTTTTATATTAATTTCACTTTGTATGCACTTTCAAACAAACACCCATAATCAGCTTACGTAACGCGTTCGAATTTGCCGCCGAAATAATTACCGAGTATGGATTTCGGATAGCCTGTGTTTTGGCGCCGGTGAACCGCTGAAATTCACCCGGAATCAGAAACGCGAATGTCGACATGAAGCGTCATTAATTTCAACGATCTCGAGTCAGTTCCTCGTCAGTTTGAAATTAGGCAAGCTTAGTGGAACGCAAACTCCCTATTCAAATTTTGTTAAATGGTTTTGGGCGCCAAATCAATGTATACAAAAATCACTTATACTTAACTCAGTTCACATATACCCATCAAAGCTTTATAGCTCCATTATGGCAACAGTAATCATCCTTGCGGTTCGGGTCCATAAAGCTTACAATAGCCAGTTTGACTTATAAGGGTGGTTTGACTTAAGCCACTTAAGTCATAAAAGTTTTACAAGGTGCATGTCAAGTGAGTTTTGTATACGTTGCGGTGGTTAACGTCAAAACTTGCCGTTGACGCAGAGGTTCCCGTTGCACTTGCTGTTCCCACTGACGCTGCTTTTGGAGCTGAAAATTGCCATTGTTGCCAAGTTGAGAAATCGAAAAGTCCAAAAATCGAACATTTAAAAAATCGGGATACTGAAAAATCAAAAACCTGAGAAATTTAATTATTGAAAAATTGGAAAACAGGAAAATTGAATATGTGCTTAAAAAACTGAAAAACTAAAAAAAGGAGAAATCGAGAAATTGAAAAATCTCTAATTTGAATTTTCGAAAAATTGTGAAACCGAAAAAACTGAAAAACCAAAACAATGATAAACCGAAAAATCGAAAAATTGGCATATCGAGAAATCGAAAGGTAAAAGATGCAGAAAGCAAGAACTGGAGAAATTAAAATAGTCCAAAATCGAAAAATTAATAATCGGAAACTTGAAAAATTTTAAACATAAAAAATCAAAAATCTTTAAAATCACAAATTTTAAAATCTGAAACTGAGGAGTCAAAAAATCAAAAGAGAGAGAAATTGAAACATCAAGAAATTGACAAATTGAGGAATAGAAAACTCGAGAAACTAAAAAACCGAATTACGGAAAAATTGGAAAACCGAAAAATTGTAGACTTAAAAAACTGGAAAATTAAAAAAGAAAACGAAAAATCGAGATTTTGAAAAATTCCTAATTTGAATTTTGCCCCATACCCGCCCTGATATCAATTCTCAATTGTGATGAATTTTTCATTCGTTGTCAGATCGAGGGGCGGGGCTTAATTGCAAGACCCATATTTATCTACAAGAATTTACCATTTTAAGCATGTTTTAAGTTTCTTGTTCTGAAAAGACGACTATGTAAAAAAAAGGAAAATATAAGCCCCGTCCACCCGCCCTATCTCAATTGTGATTACATTTTCTTTTTAAGCGTCGAGAGCCAAAAGAGCGGAATTTAATTGCAAAATCCTTATTATTTTTCTACAAGAAATTACCATATTTTTGAGTATCGCGTTATTCAAAGAATACTATGTATTTTAAGAAAAAATTAAAGCGAAAGATTAAGTCCCACCCTTACCTGCCCAGATCTAAATAGTAATGAAATTTTCATTCGTTGACAGACCTATGGGCGGAGCCTAATTGCAAAATCTATATTTCCTTACAAAAATCATTTTAAGCATGTTTTAAGTTTCTAAGAATTAAAAAAATATCACAATTGAGTTGGTGGGCAGGGCCTATATTTTGCCTTTTTTTCTTAATATACATGGTATTCTTTGAACAACACTATACCCAAAAACCTGTCTTTAATTTCTTGTAAAAAAATCAGTTTCTGGCAGTTAAGGTCATCACAATTGAGATGGGGTGGGTGGGCGGGGTTTATATTTTGCCTTTTTGTTTTAATATGTGTATACTACTTTTCACAACATGAAACTTAAAACTTGTTTTTAAAATGGAAAATTTGTATACCGATTTTGCAATTATGCTCAGCCCCATAATTGCAAAATCCATATTTCCTTGCAAAAATTTACCATTTTTAGCATGTTTTAAGTTTCTTGTTGTCGAAATAAGTCTACACATATTAGGAAAAAAAGGCTATATGTAGCCCCGCCCACCCACCCTATCGTAATTGTGATGATTTTTTTTTATTCGTCGTGCGCCAAGAGGGCGAAGAATTTATAAAGCGAAAAATTGGTAAATCCAATAATAGAGAATTCGAAACATCAAAAAATTAAAAAATCTTGAATTTAAAAATTGGACAAATAGACAAATAGCAAATTCGAGGAACTGAAAAATCGAGATTTCGAAAAATTTAAAGTTTAAAAAATCAAATCATGAAGAATCGGATGATTGAAAAATCCCAAAACTAAAACAGTGACAAACTGAGAAATCGAAAAGTCCAAAAATCGAAAATTTAAAAAATCGGGATACTGAAAAATCAAAAACCTGAGAAATTTAATTATTGAAAAATTGGAAAACAGGAAAATTGAATATGTACTTAAAAAACTGAAAAACTAAAAAAAGGAGAAATCGAGAAATTGAAAAATCTCTAATTTGAATTTTCGAAAAATTGTGAAACCGAAAAAACTGAAAAACCAAAACAATGAAAAACCGAAAAATCGAAAAATCGAAAGGTAAAAGATGGAGAAAGCAAGAATTGGAGAAACTAAAATAGTCCAAAATCGAAAAATTAATAATCGGAAACTTAACATTTTTAACATAAAAAATCAAAAATCTTTAAAATTACAAATTTTAAAATCTGAAACTGAGGAGTCAAAAAATCAATAGCTAGAGAAATCGAAACATCAAGAAATTGAAAAATTGAGGAATAGAAAACTCGAGAAACTGAAAAATCGATATCCCGAAGCATGTAATATCTAAAAAATCGAGAAATCGAAACATCAAAAAATCGGAAAGACGGTTTTGTAAAATCCCAAAACTAAAACAATGATAAATTGAGAAATCGAGAAATCGAAAATTTGAAAAATCGAAATATTGAAAAATCAAAACCCTGAGAAATACAATTATGGAAAAATTGGAAAACCGAAAAATTGTAGACTTAAAAAACTGGAAAATTAAAAAAGAAAACGAAAAATCGAGATTTTACAAAATTCCTAATTTGAATTTTCGAAAAATTGAAAAATCAAAAACTGAATAATTTAAATATTCAAAAAGCGAAAAACTGATGCTCGAAAAATCAAAAATTTAAAAAGTCACAAACTAAAAAATTTGAAATTCAAAAAATCGAAGTAGTGGAAAATCAAAATTGAAAAATCAAAAACCTGAGAAATTAAAGATATGCTTTTGAGTATCGTGTTGTTCAAAGAATACTATGTATATTAAGAAAAAATTAAGTCAAATATTAGGCCCCACCCATATCCGCTCTGATCTCAATTCTCAATTGTGATGAATTTTTCATTCGTTGTCAGATCGAGGGGCGGGGCTTAATTGCAAGACCCATATTTATCTACAAGAATTTACCATTTTAAGCATGTTTTAAGTTTCTTGTTCTGAAAAGACGACTATGTATATTAAAAAAAAAGAAAAATACAAACCCCGCCCACCCGCCCTATCTCAATTGTGACGACTTTTTTAAGCGTCGAAAGCCTAAAGAGCGGAATTTAATTGCAAAACCCTTATTACTTTTCTACAAGAAATTAGCATATTTTTGAGTATCGCGTTATTCAAAGAATACTATGTATTTAAAAGAAAAATTAAAGCCAAAGATTAAGTCCCACCCATACCTGCCCAGATCTAAATAGTAATGAAATTTTCATTTGTTGACAGACCTATGGGCGGAGCCTAATTGCAAAATCCATATTTCCTTAAAAAAATCATTTTAAACATGTTTTAAGTTTCTAAGAATTAAGACAAAATATCACAATTGAGTTGGGGTGGGTGGGGAAGGCCTATATTTTGCCTTTTTTTCTTAATATACATGGTATTCTTTGAACAACACGATACCCAAAAAGCTGTTTTTAATTTCTTGTAAAAAAAATCAGTTTCTGGCAGTTAAGGTCATCACAATTGAGATGGGGTGGGTGGGTGGGGTTTATATTTTGCCTTTTTTTTTAATATGTGCAGACTTCTTTTCACAACATGAAATGTAGAACTTGTTTTTAAAATGAAAAATTTGTATACCGATTTTGCAATTATGCTCAGCCCCATAATTGCAAAATCCATATTTCCTTTCAAAAATTTACCATTTTTACCATGTTCCAAGTTTCATGTTCTGAAAAGATAGCCATGTATATTAAGACAAAAAAGGCAAAATATAAGCCCCGCTGATTTTTTTTTTATTCGTCGTAAGAAGAGGGGAGGAGCTTAATTGTAAAATCCTTATTTTTCCTCGAGAAATTACCATTGAAATATGTTCTTAAGTAATCGTGTTATACAAAGAAAACTAAATGTATTAATTAAAAAAAAAACCAAAAGAGAAGCCCCACCCATTCGTATCGATCTCAATCGTGATGAATTTTTCATTCATTGTGAGACCGAGAGGCGGAGCGTAATTGCAAAATCGATATTTCCCTATACAAATTTACTATTTTAAACATGTTTTAAGTTTCTTGTTGTGATAAAATGACTGCACATATTAAGAAAAAAAAGCAAATTGTAGCCCCGCCCACCCGCCCTATCTCAATTGTGATGATTTTTTTTATTCGTCGTCAGTCAAGGGGGCAGAGCTTAACTGCAAAATCCTTATTTCTCTACTAGAAACTAAAACATGTTTTTGAGTATCGTGTTCTTCAAAGAATACTATGTATATTACGAAAAAAATAAAGCCAAATGTTAGGCCCCACCCATGCCCGCCCTGATCTCAATTCTCAATTGTGATGTGAATTTTTCATTCGGTGTCAGACCGAGGGGCGGGGCTAAATTGCAAGATCCATATTTGTCTACAAGAATTTACCATTTTAAGTATGTTTTAAGTTTCTTGTTCTGAAAAGACGACTACGTATATTACGAGAAAGACAAAATATACGCCCCACCCACCCACCCTGTCTCATTTGTAATGATTTTTTTAAATCTTCTAGTGCCAAAGGAGCGGAATTTAACTGCAAAATCCTTATTATTTCTCTAGAAGAAATTTCAGTGTAAGACATGTTTTTGAGTATCGTGTTATCCGAAGAATACTATGTATATTAAGAAAAAATTAAAGCCAAAGATTAAGCCCCACCCATACCTGCACAGGTCAAAATAGTAATGAAGTTTTCATTCGCTGGCAAACCTAGAGGCGGAGCCTAATTTCAAAATTCATACTTCCTTACAAAAATTTACCATTTTAAACTTGTTTTAAGTTTTTAAGAATAAAAAAGCCCCACCCATACCTGCCCTGACCTAAATAGTAATACAATTTTCATTCGTTGCCAGACCTCGGGGCGGACCTGACCTGACCTGACCTGACCTGGCCTGACCTGACCTGACCTGACCTAAATAGTAATACAATTTTCATTCGTTGCCAGACCTAGGGGCGGAGCTTAATTGCAAAATCCATATTTCCCTACAAAAATTTGCCATTTTAAATGTGTTTTAAGAATCTAAGAATAAAAAAAAAAAATCATCACACTTGAAATGGGGTGAGTGGGAGGGGTTAATATTTTGCCTTCTTTTCCTAATATGTGCAGATTTATTTCGACAACAAGAAACTTAAAACAAGTTTAAAATGGAAAATTTTTATAAGGAACTATCGATTTAGCAATTAGGCTCCGCCCCATAATTGCAAAATCCACATTCCCTTGCAAAAAGTTTACCATTTTAAACACGTTTTAATGTTTCTAAGTTTAAAAAATCTATTTTACCTTGTTTTCTTAATATACGTAATATTCTTTGAACAACATGATACTCAAAAACATGTTTTTAACTTCTTGTAAAGAAATAAGTAATTTGCAGTTAAGCTTCGCATACTTGGTTCACGGCAAAAAAAAAATCACCAGAATTGAGACAGGGCGGGTGGGCGGGCATACATTTTGCCTTTTTGTTTTAATATATGTACACTTCTATTCACAACATGAAACTTAAAACATAGGAACTAACAAAAATAAATGTGACAAATTCAAAAATCTAGCAATGATAAAAATTTGGATACCTTACTTACCTTTTTACAGTGCACTCTGCAAAAAATAGATCAATGATTTTCATTTAACACTAGTTCCGTACACTTTTTTATCCAGCCGTGGACACCTGCAGAAACTTTTGGCATTTTGGATTCGAATTTCACTTGTCAGTACCAAAAAGGACTGACAAAATTAAAAATGAAACGGGTAAATGACAAAATCAGTAATTGCTAGACGGATGCTACCTGAAGGGGTAGGTAAATAAGGAAGAATTAAGATTAAGAGAACGCAAATTCCCTATTCATTTTTATGAAATGGTTTTTGGCGCCAAATCAATGCACATTCCACATTGGTTGCCTAACTTCAAACAACAGTAATAAAATTGATGATAAAATTGCATCTGGTGAACGAATTTTCCTAATGACATATGTGACCTTGTACCCTTTTGTACTTGTACTTAGAACAAAATTTTTCCGTTCTACAAGGTACAAAATAAACACTCTCTTTTATTTCTCCTAATTTCCAACAAAAATATAAAAAATGTTAGTATCATCAACTGACATTCTTGACATTACTTATAAAAACTGTAAATTATTTTTCATGTTGATGCGTGGTGCACATTATCTTCAATATATGCACAATCATCATAACCTATTTTAAAACAGTTTAATTAGCATTCAGTCCAGGGTCCACTTTCCCTAAAATGTCATTTGTTGACTCACGTACTCTCGACGCGTTACAATCGCTATAAGCTGTCAAGTGTCAAACTCGCAGCCGCTCATCATCAACCAAATTCCTGTGATGCAACCGGAAGCCGCCAAAATCCCTCAACCTTCTTCGGCATGAAGATCTTCAAAACCGTCCCGTGGCTGCAGCGGCGCTACAGCGCCTTCTCCGCCGACACCATCTTCAGCGAGGAAAACGTAAAGAAAACCATCACGAATTTCGCGAAAATGAAACCCCTAGTGCAGCAGTCCAAGTTGCCGGTAAAGAAGGCCGCAGTCCTGATCCCGCTTTGCGTCATCAACGATAAGGTGTCGCTGCTATACACGCTGCGCGCGGCCAATTTGAAAAGTCACAGGGGGCAGGTGAGCTTTCCGGGAGGAATGGAGGACGCGGGGGACAAGAGCGTGGTGGAGACGGCGTTGCGGGAGACGCAGGAGGAGCTGGGGATCGGGCCCGAGTTGGTGGAGGTGTGGGGGAAAGGCAACATAGTGACCAATCACGTGGCGAGTGTGATGCCGGTGGTGGGGGTGCTGAAGATCAGTAACCTTCAGAAGGACCTGTCGGTGAACCCTGGGGAGGTTAAGGAGGTTTTCACTGTGCCTTTGGAGGTTTTGTGCGACCCGCAGCACGTGAGGCATACGCAGTTTCGGGCGAATTATTCTTTGCCGGTTTATACGGGGGGGAAGAGGAAGATTTGGGGGCTCACGGCGATTATTACGCATTTGTTTCTTAGGGCGATGCTGTCGAGGGAGGAGTATAATCCGAGTGTCAAGTTTGTGCCTCCCTTGAAGGCGTCGAGCCGGAACTATGGGTTTTTGTAGGGCGGGTTTATTTATTTGGGTATTTAACTTTATTGCGATGTGCATTGTGATGACAAATATAAGTATTTTCTAGACAGTGTAAGACAGTTTTACTTATTTTTTTATCCCAGAATGATTCAATGTCAAAAAATGGGGCGAAAACAAAGGACTTTCTGTTTATAAAAAAAACCTTGTAAAGGAATCAAGATTTAGAAGTGTGTTCTTTTACAAAAATAGAAACAGAAAGCTGTCTGTTTAGGACCGTGGTCCCATTTTAACAAATCAGTGGATACATAACCTTTAATTACACATTTTTTGTCATAAAAGCTACCAGCTGACAGAACGGTGTGATATGTCAATTGTGCAGTAGTACCACCCATACAACTAGTCTTACAGTCAGCTCCAATTCGTTTCATTTTTGATGGCACCCTATTTCTTTGCCTTATGACTGACTGGGCATGGTTTCTTTTCTCCGTTCAAGAAAAATTACACGGATTTGTATTAAAACTGGGTTGTGTTGTAATTTTATAATGAATCATAAATATGCTTGTGCAAAAGCGGCTCCGCCCACCCATGGTAGAAGGAGACATGGTATAGGCATACGCATCGGGTGTGACGTCAAGTGGGGTGAAATTAGCGCGAAATTTAAAATACAATTCGTTATCCGACAACTAATTGACGTATTGGACAGAGCACTGACAACTCAAGCTGAAATTCCCTAGACTTCCCTAGCGAAGCTCACAAGAGTCACAAGGTCGTTGATGCCACCTAACGTCACAAATGGATGCGCAGACCATTTTTAAATTGGTACATCGGATGCCTATACCATGTCTCCTTCTACCATGCGCCCACCCACCTCCCTTCTCTTTTGATTACTCATTTTATTGGTCCTTGGACGGATGTTGGATTGTAAATTGACAAATAATAGATTCCAGGACTACATGAAATGATTTATTAAGGTGGAGTTTATGCGAGTGGGAGGAGCATCGGTAATAATGTTTTTACATATAATTTTCACGTCTGATATGCTTATTTACCACCAGCTTAATATTTTTTAGGTACTTTGTTTACAATTTATCTATTTTCTCACCAAGGGTTCAACAGATTTTTGTCTAAGATTCTTATACAATGATGATGTTATTATTTATCAATATTAAAAATAGTCACCAGAATCAAGAAGGGGGCGGGTGGGTGGGGCTATTGCTTGCTAAGGATATTCGGTACAAAAAAGTTAGACTTAGCTCCAGGCCCAGCACTTTTCTCCACTTCACTGACTTATTTTATCTACTGTAAAATGGTAATTGAATTCTGATTTGACAAGCAGTAAAATCTAAGATTTAAAACAAAGTCGAAAGTGGCGCCACCCACCCACTCCTCTTCCCTTTTGATTACTCATTTTATTGGTTCTTAGACGAATGTTGGATTGCAAATTAACAAATAGTTGGAATCCAGCACTAAATTTTTGTTTTAATTTTGTTTTTTGTTCAAAAACGACTCTATCGTCAGCGTTTACATTAGATTAATTAAAAATCATATAAACTAGACACAATGAGATATAATTATGGACACCATCCCTCTTCTTAATGAAATGATTTATTAAGGTGGAGTTTGTGCGAGTGGGAGGAGCATCGGTAATATTACTTTTTTCGTATAATTCTCACGTCTGGTATGTTTATTTAACAGCAGCTTTATACTTTTTAGGTACTTTGTTTACAATTTATCTATTTTCTCACCAAGGGTTTAACAGATTTGTCTAAGATTCTAATAAAATGATATTTTGTTATTAATTATAAATATTATAAAGAGTCACCAGAATCAAGAAGGGGGCGGGTGGGCGGGGCTATTGCTTGTTAAGAATATTCTGTACAAAAAAGTTAGACTTAGCTCCGCCCAGGACTTTTTTCCACTTCACTGACTTCTTTTATCTACTGTAAAATGAGAATTGAATTCTGATTTGACAAGCAGTAAAATCTAAGAATTAAAACAAAGTCGAAAGTAGCCCCACCCACTCACCCTTCTTCCCTATTGATTACTCATTTTATTGGTTCTTAGACGGATGTTGGATTGCAAATTGACAAATAATAGTTAGAATCCAGGACAATTTTTTTTTTTATTTTGTTTTATGTTCAAAAACCACTCCATCGTCAGCGTTTACATTAGATTAATTAAAAATCATATAAACTAGACACAATGAGATATAATTGTGGACACCATCCCTCTTCTTAATGGAATGATTTATTAAGGTGGAGTTTGTGCGAGTGGGCGGAGCATCGGTAATATTACTTTTTACATATAATTCTCACGTCTGGTATGTTTATTTAACAGCAGCTTAATACTTTTTGGATACTTTGTTTACAATTTATCTATTTTCTCACCAACGGTTTAACAGATTTGTCTAAGATTCTGATAAAATGATATTTTGTTATTAATTATCAATATTAAAAATAGTCACCAGAATCAAGAAGGGGGCGGGTGGGTGGGGCTATTGCTTGCTAAGGATATTCTGTACAAAAAAGGTAGACTTAGCTCCGCCCAGCACTTTTCTCCACTTCACTGACTTATTTTACTTACTGTAAAATGGGAATTGAATTCTGATTTGACAAGCAGTAAAATCTAAGATTTAAAACGAAGTCGAAAGTAGCCCCACCCACCCACCCCTCTTCCCTTTTGATTACTCATTTTATTGGTTCTTAGACGGATGTTGGATTGCAAATTGACAAATAATAGTTAGAATCCAGGACTAATTTTTTTTTAATTTTGTTTTTTGTTCAAAAACCACTCTATCGACAGCGTTTACATTAGATTAATTAAAAATCATGTAAACTAGACACGATGAGATATAATTGTGGACACCATCCCTCTTCGTAATGGATTGATTTATTAAGGTGGAGTTTGTGCGAGTGGGAGGAGCATTGGTAATATTAGTTTTTACATATAATTCTCACGTCTGATATGTTTATTTAACCGCAGCTTAATACTTTTTAGGTACTTTGTTTACAAATTATCTATTTTCTCACCAAGGGTTTAACAGATTTGTCTAAGATTCTAATACAATGATGATGTTGTCATTAATTATCAATATTAAAAGTAGTCACCAGAATCAAGAAGGGGGCGGGTGGGCGGGGCTATTGCTTGCTAAGAATATTCTGTACAAAAAAGTTAGACTTAGCTCCACCCAGCACTTTTCTTCACTTCACTGACTTATTTTATCTACTGTAAAATGGGAATTGAATTCTGATTTGACAAGCAGTAAAATCTAAGATTTAAAACAAATTCGAAAGTAACCCCACCCACCCACCCCTCTTCCCTCTTAATTACTCATTTTATTGGTTCTTAGACGGATGTTGGATTGCAAATTGACAAATAATAGTTAGAATCCAGGCCTATTTTATTTTTAATTTTGTTTTTTGTTCAAAAACCACTCTATCGGCAGTGTTTACATTAGATTAATTAAAAATCATATAAACTAGACACAATGAAATATAATTGTGGACACCATCCCTCTTCTTAATATTGATTTATTAAGGTGGAGTTTGTGCGAGTGGGAGGAGCATCGGTAATATTACTTTTTACATATAATTCTCACGTCGGGTATGTTTATTTAACAGCAGCTTAATACTTTTTAGGTACTTTGTTTACAATTTATCTATTTTCTCACCAAGGGTTTAACAGGTTTGTCTAAGATTCTTATACAATGATGATGTTGTTATTAATTACCAATATTAAAAGTAGTCACCAGAATCAAGAAGGGGGCGGGTGGGTGGGGCTATTGCTTGCTAGGAATATTTGGTACAAAAAAGTTAGACTTAGCTCCGCCCATCACTTTTCTCCACTTCACTGACTTATTTTATCTGCTGTAAAATGGGAATTGAATTCTGATTTGACAAGCAGTAAAATCTAAGATTTAAAACAAAGTCGAAAGTGCCCCACCCACCCATCCCTTTTCTTAATGGAATGATTTATTAAGGTGGAGTTTGTGCCAGTGGGAGGAGCATCGGTAATATTACTTTTTAGATATAATTCTCACGTCTGGGATGCTTATTTAACACCAGCTTAATACTTTTTAGGTACTTTGTTTACAATTTATCTATTTTCTCACCAAGGGTTTAATAGATTTGACTAAGATTCTAATATAATGATGATGTTGTTATTAATTATCAGTATTAAAAGTAGTGACCAGAAGCAAGAAGGGGGAGGGTGGGTGGGGCTATTGCTTGCTAAGAATATTCTGTACAAATAAGGTAGACTTAGCTCCGCCCAGCACTTTTCTCCACTTCACTGACTTATTTTATCTACTGTAAGATGGGAATTGAATTCTGATTTGACAAGCAGTAAAATCAAAGATTTAAAAGAAAGTCGAAAGTAGCCCCACCCACCCACCCCTCTTCCCTTTTGATTGCTCATTTTATTGGTTCTTAGACGGATGTTGGATTGCAAATTGACAAATAATAGTTAGAATCCAGGACAATTTTTTTTTAATTTTGTTTTTTGTTCAAAAACCACTCTATCGTCAGCGTTTACATTAGATTAATTAAAAATCATATAAACTAGACACAATGAGATATAATTGTGGACACCATCCCTCGTCTTAATGGAATGATTTATTAAGGTGGAGTTTGTGCGAGTGGGAGGAGCATCGGTAATATTACTTTTTACATATAATTCTCACGTCTGGTATGTTTATTTAACAGCAGCTTAATACTTTTTAGGTACTTTGTTTACAATTTATGTATTTTCTCACCAAGGGTTTAACAGATTTGTCTAAGATTGTAATAAAATGATATTTTGTTATTAATTATCAATATTAAAAATAGTCACCAGAATTAAGAAGGGGGCGGGTGGGCGAGTCTATTGCTTGCTAAGAATATTCTGTACAAAAAAGTTAGACTTAGCTCCGCCCAGCACTTTTCTCCTCTTCACTGACTTATTTTATCTACTGTAAAATGTGAATTGAATTCTGATTTGACAAGCAGTAAAATCTAAGATTTAAAACAAAGTCGAAAGTGGCCCCGCCCACCCACCCCTCTTCCCTTTTGATTACTCATTTTATTGGTTCTTAGACGGATGTTGGATTGCAAATTGACAAATAGTAGTTAGAATCCAGGACTATTTTTTTTTTAATTTTGTTTTTTGTTCAAAAACCACTCTATCGTCAGCGTTTAAATTAGATTAATTAAAAATCATATAAACTAGACACAATGAGATATAATTGTGGACACCATCCGTCTTCTTAATGGAATGATTTATTAAGGTGGAGTTTGTGCGAGTAGGAGCAGCATCGGTAATAATGCTTTTTACATATAATTCTCACGTCTGGTATGTTTATTTAACAGCAGCTTAATACTTTTTAGGTACTTTGTTTACAATTTATCTATTCCATCACCAAGGGTCTAACAGATTTGTCTAAGATTCTAATACAATGATGATGTTGTCATTAATTATCAATATTAAAAATAGTCACCAGAATCAAGAAGGGGGCGGGTGGGCGGGGCTATTGCTTGCTAAGAATATTCTGCACAAAAAAGTTAGACTTAGCTCCGCCCAGCACGTTTCTCCACTTCACTGATTTATTTTATCTACTGTAAAATGGGAATTGAATTCTGATTTGACAAGCAGTAAAATCTAAGATTTAAAACAAAGTCGAAATTAGCCCCACCCACCCATCCCTCTTACCTTTTGATTACTCATTTTATTGGTTCTTAGACGGATGTTGGATTGCAAATTGACAAATAATAGTTAGAATCCAGGACTAATTTTTTTTTTAATTTTGTTTTTGGTTCAAAAACCGCTCTATGTTTTTTGTTCAAAAACGACTCTATCGTCAGCGTTTACATTAGATTAATTAAAAATCATATAAACTAGACACAATGAGATATAATTGTGGACACCATCCCTCTTCTTAATGGAATGATTTATTAAGGTGGAGTTTGTGCGAGTGGGAGGAGCATCGGTAATATTACTTTTTACATATAATTCTCACGTCTGGTATGTTTATTTAACAGCAGCTTAATACTTTTAAGTACTTTGTTTCCAATTTATCTATTTTATCACCAAGGGTTTAACCGATTTGTCTAAGATTCTAATACAATGATGATGTTGTCATTAATTATCAATATTAAAAGTATTCACCAGAAACAAGAAGGGGGCGGGTGGGTGGGGCTATTGCTTGCTAAGAATATTCTGTACAAAAAAGTTAGACTTAGCTCCGCCCAGCACTTTTCTCCACTTCACTGTAAAATGGGAATTGAATTTTGATTTGACAAGCAGTAAACTAACTAACTAACATATATTGTGCCTTTTTAAAAATATATTTGGCTAGGAAGATTTACCATTTTGACCATATTTTAAATTTATTGTTGTGGAAAGAAGATTACGAATATAAAGAAAGAAACGTCAAAAGTTAAACCCCGCCCACCCACCCCACTTTAATGGTGATGATTTTTTTATTCGTCGTGAGCCGGGGGGCGGAGCTTAATTGCAAAACATGTATTTCCCTACAAAAGTTTTATCATTTTGAACTTGTTGTCGGTTTTCTCTTATGAAAAGAAAATTAGGTATATTTTTAAAAAAAGCACAAAATATAAGCCCCGCCCATGCATAAAAAAAATCACAGTTGAAATAGGGCGGGTGGGTAGGGCTTGCATTTTCTCTTCACAACCAAAGACTTTAAACTTTATCAAATTAGTAAATTTTGTAGGGAAATATGGATTTTGCAATTACACTCCGCCCCTCGGCCTGACAAGGAATGCAAAATTCATCGGAATTGAGATGAGGGTGGGTGGGCGGGGCTTATATTTTGCCTTTTTAAAAATATATTTGTCTAGGAAGAGTTACCATTTTGACCACATTTTAAATTTCTTGTTGTGGAAAGAAAATTATGAATATTAAAAGAGAAACAAAAGTCAAAATATAAGCCCCGCCCACCCGCCCTATGTCAATTCTGATGATTATTTTTATTCGTTGTGAGCCAGAGGGCGGAGCTTAATTGCAAAATCTGTATTTCCCTACAAAATTTTACCATTTTGAACTTGTTTTCAGTTTTTTGCTATGAAAAGAAAATTACGTATACTAAAAAAAAGGCAAAATATAAGCCCCGCTCATGCATAAAAAATCATCACAGTTGAGATAGGGCGGGTGAGCGGGGATTGCATTTTCCCTTGTTCTTCTTACTGTACGTAGTTTTCTCTTCACAACCAAAGACTTAAAACTTTATTAAATTGGTATTTTGTAGGGAAATATGGATTTTGCAATTACGCTCCGCCCCTCGGTTTGACAAGGCATGAAAAATTCATCGGAATTGAGATGAGGGTGGGTGGGCGGGGCTTATATTTTGCCTGTTTAAAAATATATTTGTCTAGGAAGATTTACCATTTTGACCATATTTTAAATTTCTTATTGTGGAAAGAAGATTACGAATATTAAGAAAAAACAAAAGTCGGAAGAAGCCCCGCCCACCCACCCCTCTTCCCTCTTGACTACTAATTTTATTGGTTCTTAGACGGATGTTTGATTGCAAATTGACAAATAATAGTTAGAATTCAGGACTAATTTTTTTTTTAATTTTGTTTTTTGTTCAAAAACCACTCTATTGTCAGCGTTTACATTAGATTAATTAAAAATCATATAAACTAGACACAAGAGATATAATTGTGGACACCATTATGCCGCTTAATTCTTTTTAGGTACTTTGTTTACAATTTATCTACTTTCTCACTAACGGGGTAACAGATTTCCCTAAGATTCTAATAAAATAGGATGTAAATAAATTTAATTTGTAACAACTGTCCCTTGGGCATAACAGGCTCCAGTCTCTGCCCTATTTCATTTTTAAATAAATAAATAAATAAATAAATAAATAAATAAAATGATAATGTTCTTATTAATTATCAATATTAAGAGTATTCATTACAATCAAGAAGAGGGCGGGTGGGCGGGGCGTTAAACTTAGCTCCGCCCACCTGCTGTGTCCACTTCACTGACTTATTTTATCTACTGTAAAATGGGAACTGAATTCTGATTTGACAAGCGGTAGAATCTAAGATTTAAAACAAAGTCAAAAGTGATTTTTTATAGCCACGAAGCGCTTATGTTTGACAGTCACAACCGAAGTTACTAGATGAATCCACACCTTGGGACTTTCTTTCCTGTTCATGACATACCATCTTGTCAATTAGGTTAATTTTGGAATAAGAATTTTTAAAAACACGATAATTATATACTTGACTTGTTGGGGTTTACGTTGGTATGAAAGAAATATCTCTCCTCATCTGACAGATTCAGGGGTGCTATACCTTGCTGTCATTGCAAGAGGTTTGACATCTGACTATTTATCACAGAAAAATCAGAGATTTCTTAGCAATTATCTTAATAGTCTTTCACGCTTCAACTAAGACTACTTTTTTTTAAAGAAATATTGAAAAAATAAAGCGCCCGGTGACTATTAAATATTGTGACTTTTTGTCAGGTTGGCAACAGACTCAGAATTTTATGATGGCATACCTATTTATCAAAATTAAATTTAGGTCATTTTCTCTTTGGAAGCGACCGGATTACATTTCAAAATAAAAATCATATGCAACCCACAATACTCTAAAAATTGAAAATATATAACGTATGATTTTTTAAACTGGACATAATGGGACACTCTGGAAACAAAAGATGTGAACGACGTAAGGCGTAGTTTAATTAGTTTAACCTCAATTTGTGGCAATGATAGTGACATTTATACCAAAAATAATTAAACAGCGCTCTACGTCTTTCACATCTTTAGTTTCCAGAGCCTCCTCTTATGTCAAATCGTATTTTTCACAGTTTACAAGGGAAACAAAGAACTGAAGCAGACACACAGAAGTAAAAAAAATAGAGTGCTCATGTAGATGGTTGCAATCTTTCCACTTCTGTTTTAAACATTTCTAGATTTTCCACATCAAGAAATCTATAATTTGTTCACTTCTTAAAACAAACATACCTTGAGGAAGCGTCTTCAATTCCGACAGATTTTTATAATTGGTATAATAAATCCTTGACTTTATTCGCCGGTTTTTGCGAGAGCTTTGCAAACGTGACCCGAAAAAGTAATTACTCTCCAGCCGAATCAGCTGGCAACTTTCTGAAGCCTCTCGGCGAGTAAACAAGAATTAAAAGGTGGTTGAAAGTGTGTTGCCCAATTTTTTTGTGCCAAAAATAGCGGCACGTTCACACGTCAATCAGGTTTGTGGATAATTCTCAAGCCTTTCTTGCACTCTTGTTGGAATGAGTGTCACTGCTTTTCACTTACGACGATGGAAAAATTATCCGTTCAATTGAAAACTGATCTTGCTCCACAGGAAATTATAACACACTTCTCTTAGTAATGTCACCGTTCAAGCTCTCCTGTACTGTCATTACGAAAAAAACACCTACTTTACTTAAATTAAGCATAATTGTTCAACAAATTATTCATAACGGTCACTTAAGTCTCTAACTGCAGTTGTGTTGCATAAAAATGATGATAATAGTTTCCTGACCAATGACTCACTTCAGCAAAGGACGATTACTTAAACCCATCGCTACGTTCACAGTTACCTTTATTACGTAAAAATACATTGTAACATAATTATTATTTATTTCTTACCTAACTGATACAAATGATAAACAAAACTAGCACTTTAAGTAACTTTATGTATTTAAGGGTCAGGGCCCACGAAGCGCTCAATTCAAGTAAAAACCATTATCCGAATTTTTAAAACCCACGAAATCACCTGGTGCGCCCTGCCCCGGTCCGAAAAACTTAAGAACGCGAATTAAAACACGATTTTCAAGTCCAGCTCAAAAATTTAGCAAAATTTCCAACAATACTGCTCAACAAGAAAAAGCTCTGGTATCAAAACTTCGCTACATTAGCAAAAATTTCGTTATATGTCATACGAAGTAAGTAAATATTATAAAAAAGCGCGTAGAGCAACTTAAGAAGGTCGCCAAATTTTGTACTAGTACCGTCTGCGGCGACCTCGTCAAGCCACTCCACCTGGGTTAGATAAAAATCATGATTATGATTCCGCGACAATGGGAGTGGATGTGGTGAAAATTGGCGTCTCCAGCTCTATCCTGGCCGTTGTCCTCAACCCCAGCTGGTTTTTGATGTGACTAATGATGTCTTGGTCGGCCGGACAGCTCTGCCGGAACGCCTCCAGCTCGTACATGTTCGCCATGTACGTCCACAGCGCGGTGAAGCTGGTCGGGATCTCGAACTTCCGGAAGGCTTTGGCGCCGATGCGGATGTGCTGGAGCCGGGGCATGAGCTCGCAGTCGAAGCAGGACATGGTGTCGCCGGTGAGGAAGCGGGTGGCCCTCTTCGCCATGAAGTCGTTGATCCTCTCCAGGTGCGAGTACAGCGGCTGGCTGGCCTCCTTGGTGTCCGTCGATTCGAATTTAGTTACGTACATTTTAAACTTGGTGTAGAGGTTTTCGATGAGGGTGGCGACCTCCTTGTCCTGCAAATTCGTTCATTGAAATTGGGTTTAGCAACCCGAGATACGTTTTACCTGAACGAACAAGTTGTGCCCGCCTGGTACGTTCTTCATGATGTGCCTTTCGATTTTTTCGTTCTCGAGGATGGCCATGCCTCGGTCGATGAGGATCGGAGGAGGTGTCGCTTCGAAGTTCGTGCGGAAATCGGGTGGGGGTTTCTGCATGTCCACTGTGGTCACTTTTAGGCTGATGGTTTTCAGTTCCGCCAAGAGGTAGAGTTCCATGAAGTATTCTTGGCAGAAGAGGCACGCGCCCTTTCGGCGGCCGTCGATTGTGGAAGCCTGCAATTAGTGGGTGTTAGAGAGTCGGTGCTAATTCGTCAAGGTCGGTTTTTTAATCGTGTATGCAAATTTAGACCTTGGGGACAATAGAAACATTCGATAGTGGTCATGTGTGGTTTTGCGTCTTCCGTAGATGACAATTTGGGATCTTTCTTATTTTTTGGTGGTGTTAAAAGCTAGGAGAAGACTTTGAATAAAGCTCATTACCTATGTCTTCAAGCACTCGAGATATTATATTAATAATATAATGTATAAAATAAGGACTTAAATCCAATAAAATACAAAGTAATTATAAAAGAAGAAAAGTTGGAGCTGAAATTTATAATTTGCCGCCTCGTTGTAATGATGACTACGCATCGTCTGTCACAAATATCAACATAACCCAACTTTCCCTAGCGTTCTGGATGTGTTGGATGTGTCATCTTATATAATATCTTCTTTACTCTGCTTGCTGGAGTGTTTACTTGCTTTTAATTTCTTTAAATGGAATGATATATATTTTTTTGCACATTTAGATAGTACTGAGTAGTAAGTACATTTATCTTATCTTGAAGAGCCTTCTAAATATTTATAGTTTTATATAGTTTAATTAAGTATTCTTAACAGTCAGTTCGTTAAAATTTACGGGCCCTAAATTACACTGTTTGTCATGATTTTGAACAGTAATACTACGTCTCAAGTTTTTAAAAAATAAAAGGCAAAACACACTCTTGGGTTCTAGAGTACACACCAATAAAGCGGCTCAGTGGCCATAAAAGCTTCCATACGGGTCGGTCCACTTGCGAATTTGGGGGCGAGGACACTGCACTGGTCGTTAATATGTTTTATGTTTTCTATTACATTTACGTTTTTACACAAACATTGCCCTGTCTAAAAAAACAAATATATGAAAATAATTTTACTTTTGAAATAGTTTTCAGAAAATTACAAATGAATTCGAAAAATATAGCGTGTTTATGGTCCCGGGGTAGTTTTTATAAAAATAGTAGCAGTTATCGAAGACATGGGCCTGAAACCAACTTCTGTAGTCAAAATTGATAAGAAAAATATCTTTAAGTTTCGAAAATATTCAGATACATAGCGTAATTATGGTCCTGGGATAAGATTTTAGAAATATTCGGTCTGAAAATATGTATAATTATATTTTTTTAAATCCAAAAAACTGCAACATTCCAATGGGTGATTCTAGAAAGTAGGAGTTATCGAAGAAATGGGGCCGAAATTCCCTTCTGTAGGTCCAAATTTATAAAAAAATGTCCTTGGGTAAGTTCCTAAAAATGGCCAAAAATTGGCCGAAATTTTCAAAGGGGAGAATGGCAAAATTTGGTTTTCGAAAAAGTTGTCAAAAAGTCCCAAAAAATTCAGGAATATAGATTACGAGGTTCTGATTCCAAAAATATTGGGTATTTATGGTTCCGGACCACGGTTTTATAAATATTCAGTCTGATTTTTTTTTTTTTTTAATTCAAAAAACTGCAAACGGGCAATTCTGGAAAAAATGGTAGAAGTTGTTGAAGAAATAACGTCGAAATTAATTCTTAAGGTCGAAATCTATAAGAAAATGCCTAAGAAGTTTCGAAAATGGACGTAAATTGGCCGAAATTTTCAAAGGACAGGAAAATTTTGCTTTTGAAAAAAATGGTCAAAAATTTATGAAAAAACTCAGGGATATAGATTTCGACATGCTGATTCCAAAAATATAGGGTGTTGATGGTTCCGGGGCAAGATTTTACAAATATTCGGTTTGAAAATCTTTTTTTTTAATCCAAAAAGGTGGAATATTCCAATTTTGGAAAAATGGCAGGAGTTAACGAATAAAATCGAAACTAACGTCTGTAGGTTCAAGTTCACAAGAAAATGTCTTTGGTTAAGTCAAAAATGGTCGAAAATTTGATAAAATTTTGTTTTGGAAAAAGTTGTCAAAAATTCATAAAAAAATCAGCGATATAGGAAAGGAAAATTTTGCTTTTGATAAAATGGTCAAAAAATTACCAAAAAATTCAAGGATATAGATTTCGTCGTGCTGATTCCAAAAATATAGCGTGTTTGTGGTCCTGGGGCAAGATTTTAAAAATATTCGGTTTGAAAATCTTTATTTTGTAATACAAAATTTGGAATGTTCTAACGGGTGATTCTAGAAAAATGGTAGGGGTTATCCACGAAATGGGGGGCGAAACTACCTTCTGTAGGGCCGAATTTATAAGAAAATGTCTTTGGTCAAAAATTGGCTGAAATTTTCGAGGGGATTTGCAAAATTTTGTTTATGAAAAAGTTGTCAAAAATTCCTAAAAAAATCAGCGATATAGGTTTTAACGTGCTGATTTTAATTATTTCTTAGATTCAAAATTTGCAATATTTCAATGGATGTTTCTATAAAAACGGTAGGAGTTATCGAAAAAATACGGCGGAAACTACCTTCTGTAGGTCCAAATTTATAAAATTTTCGAAAATGGTCGAAAATTGGCCGAAATTTTCGAGGATTTGAAAAATTTTGTTTCTAAAAAAGTCGTCGAAAAGCCACCAAAAAATCCAGGAATACAGATTTCGCCATGCTGATTCCAAAAATATAGCGTCCCGGAGTCAAGATTTTAAAAATATTCGGTTTGAAAATCTTTTTTTTTTTAACCAAAAAAACTGCAATGTCGAATGGACGACTATGGATAAATGGTAAGAGTCATCGAAGATCCGCAGATCCAAATTATAAGAAAATGTCTTTAGTTTAAAAATGGTTGAAAATGTGCCGAAATTTTCAAAGTGGGGGATTGCAAAATTTTGTTTTTTAAAGTTGTCAAAAATTGTTAAAAAAATAAAGGATATAAGAAAAATGGCAAAGTTTTTGAAGAAATGAGGCTGACACAAATTTCTGAATCTATAAGAAAAAGTCTTTAGAAGTGTAGAAAATGGTCGCAAATTGGCCGAAATTTTCATAAGAATAGAAAATTTTGCTTTTAAAAAAAATGTCAAAAAATTTGGGGATATAGATTTCGACATGCTGATTCCAAAAATATAGCGTGTTTATGGTCCCGGGGCAAGATTTTACATCTATTCGGTTTGATTTTTTTTTAATCAAAAAAACTGTAATATTCAAATTCTGGAAAAATGGCAGGAGTTATCGAAGAAATGAGACCGAAACCAACGTGTGTAAGTCCAAATTTATAAAAAATGTCTTTGGTTAAGTTTCAAAAATGGTCAAAAATTGGGCCAAATTCCCAAAGAACGGGAGTTTTGGAAATTTTGCTTTAGGAGAAGTTGTTAAAAAATTACCAGAAAATTCAGGAATATATTTAGATTTTGACATGTTCATTCCAAAAATACAGCATGTAGATTTTAGAAATATTCGGTTTGAAAATCAAGTTTTTTAAAATCCAAAAAGCTGCAATTTCTAATGGGCGATAATGGAAAAATGGTAGAAGAAATTGAGGAAATGAGGCTGAAATTAATTTCTGAAGGTCGAAATCCATAACAAAATGTCTTTAGAAGTTTCGAAAATGGCCTTACACTGACCCAAATTTTTATAAGAACAGAAAATTTTGCTTAAAAAAAAATGGCAAAAAATTACCAAAAAAATTCAGGGATATAGATTTCGACATGCTGATTCCAAAAATATAATATGTTTTGTGGTCTCGGGACAAGATTTTACATATATTCGGTTTGGAAATTAATTTATTCCAAGTCTGGAAAAACGGCTGCAGTTCTCAAAGAAATGCGACCGAAACCAACATCTGTAGGTTCAAATTTTTAAGAAAATGTTTTGGGTTAAGTTTCAAAAACGTTCAAAAAAAGGTCGAAATTTTCATAGAACGGGGGTTTTGGAAAATTTTGCTTTTGAATTAGTTGTTAAAAAAATTACCACAACATTCAGGAATATAGATTTCCACGTGTTCATTCCAAAACATTAGCCTGTAGATTTTAGAAATAATCGGTTTGAAAATAATTTTTTTAATCAAAAAAAAAAAAATATGCAATATTCCAATAGAAGATTATGGAAAAATGACAGGAGTTATCGAAGAAACGACACCGAAACCAGCTTTTGCAGGTCCAAATTTATAAGAAAATGTCTGTGGTTAAGTTTCGAAAATGGTCGAAACTTTGTCGAAATTTTCAAAGTTGCCAAATTTAGTCTTTGAAAAAGTTGTCAAAAAATTCCTAAAAAATTCAGGGATATAGATTTCGAAAAATATGATGGTCCCAGGGTAAGATTTTAAAAATATTTGGTTTGAAACTATTTTTTTATATATATATAAAAAAAAACAACTGCAATATTCCAGTGGACGACTATGGAAAAACGGTACGAGTGATCGAAGAGATCAGACCGAAACCAGCTTCTGCAAATCCAAATTTATAACAAAATGTTTTTAGAAGTTTTGAAAATGGTCGAAAATTTTCCGAAATTTTTAAAGTTGCAAAATTTTGTTTTTGAAAAAGTTGTCAAAGAAATCCTAAAAAATTCAGGGATATAAATTTCGATGTACTAATTCCAAAAGTATAGCGTGTTTATGGTCCTGGGGCAAGATTTACAAATATTCTTTCATTTCAAATAATTCTTTTTTTTAATCCAAAAAACTGCAATATTCCAATTCTGAAAAAATGACAGGAGTTATCGAAGCAATTGGGCCGAAACTAACTTCTGTGGATCCAAATTTATAAGAAAATGTCTTTGGTCAAGTTTCGAAAATGGTTGAAAATTGGCCGAAAGTTTCGAAAGGGGGTTTTGCAAAATTTTGTTTTTGAAAAGTCGTTAAAAAATTCCTAAATATTTCCTAAACGGGTTGATTTATTAAAAGTTTAGAATCAAAAACTTCTAAAAAAGTTTCTCAAAATGGGGAAATACTTATTTTCTAATTGGAACTTGAGTAACACAGGGTTAATAAGAGTGGCTTTTTTAACATTTAAAAAAACTGAATAACTCTTTTAATAATGAAGAAGATGTACAAAGTGGGTGGTTTTGAATGCTCTTGAAAACCTTGAGTCACTCTGTATATGTAAATGTAATTGTAAAA